TCCTGCTGCTGCTGAGGCTGCTGCTGCTGTTGCTCGCCGTACATCATCATCTTCCGTTCGCCGGAGTTCGCCGACGGCGGATTCGCCGGGGCTCGACGATGGAGATGCGTCAACGAAACCCTAGATTGCAGCGGTTTGGGACCGGAGGGAAAAGCGAACTGGGTTTCAGGATTAGGGCTTTGTATTTTAAGTTTGCGGATTCAGGTTTCGGGTTAAAACCCCGCTTTGTAGCGTCGAATGGGAAAGTTACGGGTTCCGGTAAGCTTCGAATCCACCCGACCGACCCGAATATGTGAGATTCACTTTTCTTTTGAGCCCTTGCTTATTATGGATTTTCATTTCCCCCCATTTCTTAGTCATGGGGGTATGTAAAATCTATAAGAATAACCGTAAGCTAGCAAGTATCTTTAAAGATTTTTATGGTTGTTCTCAGGCATGTTGTTTCGCTAGAATAAGTATTTACCATATTGATGTTTGAAAGACTCATATCAAAGTTAGTTCTAACTCGGCTACACATTGGTGTCAGGAAAAAAAAAATACTAAATGTGTACTTAGACCCATTGTAACCGCACAAAACTTGATTCGTGTATTCCTTTGATCTATTCGGCAAAAGAGTTGATTGAGATTGATTCTGTAACCCACACTATGGGTTGTTTGATTTATTGCACCCATAGGTTGAACAAAATGAGGATGTTTTAGGTTAGTCGCAACTGTTTGTTTCACTGCAACTTATAAATATAATTGCAATTTAAGTTGCAAAAAGACTTTCAAATACAGCCTACGATCAATCATTCTAGGAAAAAAAAACTCAGACTTGTCTCCTTTACTCAACGTAGGGAGTCCATATTCTCAATCAAAACCGGACATATAATTTAAATACGAAGTCATGTACAAATAGAAAACAATCATACACTGATTCGAGGATAGACAATGTTTTTGTGCGTCGTTGATACAATTGTTCTTGATTTATTGGATAGGTATATCGTTACTAACACTAATTAATTTCTCAAATACTGTTTTCAACACTAATTAATTTCTCAAATACAATCTCATAAATACAAAAAATAAGAAACAAAATGGGGGGGGATATAGCTAAGAATCCCAACAACTCACAATGCCCACATCTCTATTACAGCCATTACTGACTGAGGGGAAGACATTCTAGCTGAATCTCTAGTTCCCCTTTATCAACATTTTTGAGTTTAAGGGTGATATCTTGCTTAACTTTGCCATCCACAAGGGAAATTATGCTGTCTTTGAGTAAGGTATTATCATCAGAAGCCACCCATTTTCCAACCTGCATGGATTCACCAACGGTGGAGGTTTCGTAAGCTTTCGCTGTTGCGACTAGTGGCTGGATATCGATTTCTGCCTCCCCCATCCGATCATCCGTCGAGAATGTATCCTTATCATACACTTGCTGTCAATGCATAGAAGAAAAGAAATTATTGTAATGAGCAACGCACGAAACCTAATAATAACGACAACAATAGGAACAACAATAACTATAAATATGGTTAATTGAGGATAAACCCATGTACTATCACCTAACTGCGCGATGGAACTCCTGCGTGAATTTGTTTTGACTCTTTAACCCTCATAGAAAGAGAATTTTGTTTCTTGACAGTTAGACCTCCTGAGGGTAATAGTGTAATTTCACTATGAGGGTCTACCTGCAACAAGAGAATGAGTGAACAACAGGGGCCTATCCCCATTTTGGTTTAGTACAGAGGGTCTATCCCCATTTGACTTTAGTACAGGAGTCTATCTGTAATTAACCTTTATAGTACTCATGGTTAATGATAATAATAATTAGTAGTAATAGGCAGTAGGGAATCCTGAATAATGAGCCGTCACACCATTTGGCAAAATGAGTTGTCAAGAGACAGAAGTGACGAGCCCCACTAGCAGGATGAATCTCACCACTAGTCCGTCTTTTGTTACTTTCATTTGGTAAAATGAGTTACCACCTCATATCAGAGTTACCACCTCATATCCATTTTTTCCTTTAGTAATAGGTGGACTAATGTGTTGGGTGATACTGTTCGCTCGGAGAGCTAATAGTTGTTCATTCAATACGGGCCAGTTTAACGAACAAAATTTAGAGCAATAAATAGTTGGTTTTAAGAAAGAAGAGATCCAAACGACTAACCTCAAATAATAGAGCTATGTCCTGACCAGGACAATTGATGAGAGAGAGAGAGAGAGCATGCGTGCACATCAGGAAAAAGCATATGAACAAGTGTCTTAAATATGACATGGTGATTACGAATTAGCATGAGAAACAGTAAAGGCAAACATCTGTTTGCTACCACCAGATAGACTTACATTAAGAATCGACAATACGTTCTTTATCTCTTTCAATTGGTAAAGATGTGATTATGATGTTTAATTAGGATGAGCTCACAAGGGTTATCTTGTGACCATGTTGTTCGTCAATGACATTGCTTTAGTTGGTTGAACCAGAAATCTGGAAACTTCTAACATCCTTATGTGGATAAACACTATAAAATCTAAGGATTTATGATTAACCTGAAGAAATGGAATATGCAATGTAATTTCAGAAAATTTATCATAGTAAATATGAATCTAAAAGACTAACAGGGATTGCAGTTATCGAACGATAAATACATCTATTTACTATTTAATATAAACATACAGAAGGGGGATAACCCAGTTAAGAAGCACATAAAAAGATATCTTAGATACTAAAAACTAAAATTTAGTAGAAGTGAGCAAGATAAAGAAAATGAGAGATAGGTCAAAGGATATCTTCTAAACAAGTTTATTGAACGTTGAAAGTTGACTTACCAACTTTAGAGGTGGGACAGGGTCTGGAATAGACAACATTAACATTTCATTCCACACAGGATTTAAGTTGCTCTTTATCACCCGTGTTTTCATTGACTGAGGAAATAGTAAGCATCAAATGTAGAATTATTTGTTAAAAGAAACATCAGTAAGAGATCAGAATCATGATGACATTTTTTTTCCATTGCCGAGTTATCTTACCTGATGTCCTAGAGTTAAGATGACGTAAGGGTCACTTGTCACAAGATCTCGGATGACTAGGTTCTTACCCCTTATAATGTTGACTTTGATCAATCCGATAAACTCAACCATGCCCATCTACAATGGTATAACATAAGATTTAAACCAGTTAAAAAAAGTTTGTGAAGTCATTATGTATGAATAGAGTATTCCGAAGCAACAAAACAAAAAATATGAATAGATAAGACCATAAGATTCCCACCGTTTTCTTTATACTCTTCTGCTCAGAATCCTTTCTTCTCCAACTATTCCGGAATGCATTCCGGATTCCGGTAGATTGTTGCTTCTCAAATTGTTTGGAGTAGACGGAGTTGTGGGAGCTGGAGAAAGAGCTAGCGAGCCTATTACGCAAGTGTGAGGAGCTAACAGGTACAATCTGCAAATTTGAGTTTAGAAATTGTTGCAGCTCATATTTTCTCCTGAATATTCAAGAAATGTAATAATGATTTAGAATCTAATAAAAAGAATCTGAGAACAGTTTTGACAGTGGATTGATATTGTACCTGATGAAATCAGAGCGCTCCTCAAATGGAGAATCTGGCTTTGGCTTTTTTACATTTTCAGGAATAAAAGCTTCATATTTCGCATTTACAGCATCATTTCCTCCCGCATTAATTAAAGAATCAACTTGTTCATCAAACCACTCGTCTAGTTTTACAGACAATACCTAAAGAGACAGTCACAGATCAGAATATTTGTTGGACATGATGCCTATATCATACAAGCAACATTTTTTGTGCATTTTTCAACTCTTCATGCATGCTGTTTGACAGTGATTGCTATACTCTAAATCATATTATAATCTTGTCCCCTCAGTTATTACATTTTCTTAGCTTCATTTATGAGAAGCAAAATGATTTGAGTTCATTTTACCCATTCATAGGTTAAAGAAGTCATATGGGTTCTTACAATTGATTTTTACAGCAGCATACTCAATATTACTTGAAATTTTGAAATGATGTAATGCTTTCTTGATTATAGGTCCACAAATGGGATTCTACTCTTTTGCTCTCCAACTAGAATCATCCTCTGTAACTCGAGTCTTGCTAGATTGCTATATAATTTTCTCTTTTCCGATAAGCTCCACCAGGAGTCCCAGTTCCAAGTCATTGATCCACCCACTTAAACATGTTATTGATGACTTCTGATACTGTACATTACCAGCCATAATGTATGTTTTCTGCCTAAAACTGAATATTGTTTGAGGCATCCATTCCTATACATGCGTTCAAATTTAACAGTAGGTACAACGATGAAACAGATATCTAAGTTTGGTTAATTGTGGATAAAGTCAAGCCAGAGAAAAAACATTTATTAAGTACAAACAATCCTAAGAAACTCTATGAATAAGGGAACATTAAGATTGGGGTGAGGTCCATGCATAAGTTTTCTGCGTCCGTACTGCCAGCTGTTTATCTCGTCAAAGACAAACAAAAAACACTAAGTTTAATCAAATAGCTTTATCCATATAATTATGCCAAATGATCATAACTATGTGCTCCTTGGCATTCTGAGTTTTTTCTACTCAAGCCCCAGGTGACAATAGCACCCACATGAGCGCATTTACTAGACATGTATGCACATACGCTCCAGCCCTTAATATGATATGCTTTCTGTGTCTGAAAAGTATCTCAACCTTCTCCTATATGGTTATCATTACTTGCCACATGGATTGACATTTGAGCTTTTGTGAATAACTTGTCAAGCATGATTTTAGACATTTGGTTATTTGCGGCAGAATATATAACATCAACTCAAAAATAAATGACTGACATGGTTTTAGACTTTCTAAATTCTCAAATATATAATAATAATAATTGACATCATATCAAGCTATTACTTTCCATTGATGTACGTTCCCTCTCTTTTTGAATTGTGTGAACCATTAACTCTTATCAAGAAATAAAAGAGTGACAACAAGTTTCCGTTTTCCAACAGGATGTCCAATATGCATGAAGAAATTTCTGACATGGTTCAAATTAATAGAGAACAAAGACAAGAAAAAAAAATAAAAGAAATTGCAAATGACAGGACTATAATTAAGAAAAATACTTTCACAACAAATTGATAGGGCCAATTTCAACAAGTGTTGCAAAAAACAAAAACAAAAAAAAATTTGGTCCTTATGATAAATTCCCTGTGACATTCTCATCTATCAAGATGTCATTCATCCTTAATTTATTTCATTAATGAAGAGCTTTCCAACCCTGTGACATTCTCATCTATCAAGATGTCATTCATCCTTAATTTATTTCATTAATGAAGAGCTTTCCAAGATAAAATTGGTTTTACTGGTCAAGATGTCATTCATCCTTAATTTATTTCATTAATGAAGAGCTTTCCAAGATAAAATTGGTTTTACTGGTCAATGTCTTCAAAACGGAACAGACCTATGCATAAGAGCATCGGATAATAAGATGCATATTTTTTCAGTATTACGGAACATGGGTTCAGCATTATTCATGTAAAGAAATAACATCATCGACATTTGCATGTATGCTTCAAATTAACTCCAAGAAAGCCAATAATCCATGCCTCCTCTCTCCAAAACTCCCTTAACTAAAAAGAAAATTCAAAGCAGGCAAAGGGCGGTAGTAGTAGTAGTAGTAGTAGTAGTAGTAGTAGTAACAACGACTGCACAGGCAAAGCAAGTGTGCTGCTGAAATAAGAGTCTGTTTTGAGATGCATACACCCATTTAGGATATGAGGCCCCACAATCAGCACAAGAACCGTTACCCGCTTGCTTCATAAAGCTTTCAAGCCTTTTTAGAGCACCTGAAAGCCACAACATATACCCAAAGAGAAACATTAAAAAAATAAACAAAATCATTATAGTTCATTATTTTATATCTAGTCTAGCATTTCCAAAAGCATAAATACCACCACAACAACACCAACAAAGGTTTTTATCACAAACACTTGGGTTTGGCTACATGAATCCCACTCTTTTAAAAGCATAGATACTTCCATCTCCCTCTCCCTCTTCCCATTATATATCTATGAGAATTACTTTACGAAGCTGTCGACAGCTATTTGCAGGATCTTGAAGCTGTTGTGTGATGTTAGGATAGTATATAGAAGGCTAAGGTCCCTACTCCCATACTTACCTTTTTTTTTTGAGGAAATACAGTGAGTGCAAACAATACCCCCGTTGTTTCATTAATAAGTATTTAACAAAACATCCCCAAAAGCCAACAAAAGTTTGCCGAAGCATACAAAAAGAAACACAAATACAAGTTAGAGGAACACAAAAACCAAAAGAACAACATACATAAAGCTCATAGTCTCAAAATGATGTCTCAAAGCATACCTTACTTATTCGCACATACACATGCACACTCACATATGACATACTTGACAATTAAAATCATTGTTTTTCTAAGTTCCAATATGGTGATCACTTGAATAGCTATTGCTAATTCATGTCAGGCGCTTGGGAATTGACCAAAAAAAACGTTAGGATTTCTTCAATAGGAAGTAAGCAGTTTTAAATTACTCGAACAATTCTCAGGCTTGTTTTGGACATTTGATCCTTTCCCAGTTGAATTACTAAGAATTTTACAAAATGGGCAAATTGGCTAAACGTGAGATTCGTATGCTATCAACAACTGAGAGCAATTATACAAACAATTCTACAAAACCTCGTAAAATTTTAAAAACAACCGCAAAAATATGAAATCACCTTGAGGGCTGATTTCGTCAAAATTTTCTCGACTGCAACTCATTCTTCCCAAGACGCTGAAACCTTGCCCTAAATTACCAAGAAATAACACGTGATCAACGAAATCTTTTGAAAAAATTCTTCTTCTTTTTTTATTTTTTGGAAAATTTACCTTGATGTTGGGGCAAAGGGGGACCCCCATCTACATCATGCAGAGGGTAATCAACAAACCCCATTGGAATCTCCGCAGGATTTCGAGTAGATTTGAAGAATTCGGATTCATCTCTCAACGCCTCAACCTTGTCTCTTGTCCTCCGTCCGTTTCCTCTCGTATTTCCCCCTAATTTTTTTAATTTTAAGAAAATAACTGACGATCGCGCGGAAGTCGTTGATCCCCCCTGCTTAGCTATATTTAAGATTAACGATTAATGATTAATATAACTAATAGCTGGTAACAGAGGTGCTGCAGGCCCAACAAGGGTTGAACGGTGGGCTTCAATATCGTAGAAGCCCAGAACACATGGGCTTTCAAAACTAGCGTGAAAATTTTCAGACGAGTACCAACTTTGTGCAAGCCCGTTACGGGGATGTGGGGGACCGTAAGACTTAAAAACTGGATTATTATAGGGTTTACTAAGGTGATGAATAAACTTTGGAATGCCAATTATATTATATATACTTCAAAAAATGATAAAACATTAATTTCCATGCATTGTCATGCTGTAGCCGGAAAGCTTCTTTAATTTGAGGAACTTCCCTTCGATGCGATGACGACGACGACGGAGGGGTAACCCCTTAAACAGCAAGCAACGTAGGCACTGTTTGGCAACAAGAGATTGTGTCTTATCTAAGAGATTGTGTCTTATTGACTTGGTCAATAAGCTAGTAGAGCTGTTTGGTGACCAAAAATAGGAGGAGATTATTTTGGAGATTGTGGCTAGTAGAGCTGTTTGGTGACCAAAAATAGGAGGAGATTATTTTGGAGATTGTGTCTTTTGCAAGTAGCATTTGGAAAGCTACCTCAAGTAACGTTTGTCTTTGGGGAGGAGATGCCAATTTTTTTCTTCCGTTTTTTGCCCCTAATAATTCTAATTTTATATCAATAATATTGCATGTCTTTTTTAGTCATTTAACAAATTTAAGCTAATTGCACAGCTACTTTTGCCAAACAGCTCTAGTCAATCAGCTAGCTACACAGCTATCAGCTTTCAGTTATAATTTCACAGGTTTCAGCTATAATCTCGTAGCTTTCAGTTAGTTTTGCCAAACTGAACCTTAGAATTCCGTAGAATCATCATCCGTAGCACCCTGGGTCGTCCACATTCAACTTGCAACAATAGTAAGCGAACAATTTTTCAAAACCGACTGAATTTTTTTTTTTTTTCAAAACCGACTGTTTTTTTTTTATTTATCAAAATCGACCCGGTTTTGTGATTAGCAGGCTAATCACTATCCTAAATAGTCGGGGTTGGCAACCCCGACTATTTAGGATAGTGATTAACCTGCTAATCACCCTTTAATTAGGGTTTAACACCCTCCTAAATAGTCGGGGTTGCCAACCCCGACTATTTAGGATAGTGATTAGCAGCCTAATCACAAAACCGGGTCGATTTTGATAAATAAAAAAAAAACAGTCGGTTTTGAAAAAAAAAAAAAAAGTCGGTTTTGAAAAATTGTTCTAATATTTTTATTGTTGGTCTTGTGTTATGTAATTTCTCGTTCTATTACTGCTTCAAAGCTGCAGCAGCGTTAGCTTGCAGACCACTGCAAAGTATAAAGTTTGAGCTCAGTGACGCACTCAAGAGGATCCAAAATTTTTTTCAGAAGGATTTTTGTGTCAGTCATTTCTCACTGCGTATAAGGAGTGGGTTTAAGTGTAAATTGTATTTAAATAGATTAGTATAATGCGGCGGAAGGAGGTCAAGTCGTACGGGACGGGGAAGGCGATCGAGGGAGCGTTCGAGAGGGGGCAGGTTTGCTTGGTCGTAGAGGATCTGGTGACGAGCGGGGCGTCGGTGCTCGAGACGGCGGCGCCGCTGAGGGAGCTGGGGCTGGAGGTGAGGGACGCGGTGGTGGTGATCGACAGGGAGCAGGGAGGGAGGGAGAATCTGGCGGGGGAGGGGATAAGGCTGCACAGCCTGGTGACGCTGACGGAGATGGTGGACTGCCAAGGAGTTGCTCGAGATTGCGGATAAGGTTTGAATCTTTTTTGCTTTTGGCTTATTTGCAGTTGAGTACCCCCAAAGTTTCTATTTTTTAAATAAAAAAATTGATGCCCTAAAGCTCTGTTTTGACAATGTGATACCCAAAGATTGCAAATAGACGGTGAGTTTTTGACAATTTGATACGCCGGTGCCCTAAGTTTGTTCTTCAACGCCCTAAGGTTCTATTTGACAATGTGATGCCCCAAAGTTTGCAAATAGACGATGATTTGACAATTTGATACCCCGGTGCCCTACGTTTGTTCTTCACTTCCCCCAAAATCAATCAAAGATCTTAAATTTGGTTGCTCATTCACCTTTTCTATGTTGATATTCTTGTACGAAATTAATTTTGCTCATTGGTTTGGGAGCTAATTTACAATAAAAATTAGGAATGGATTATTAGCCGTACTAAGAAATTCCGACTTTCATATGACATGGGACCAAAACTCGTTATTGGGGGGAATGCAAAGATATAGTAGAAACTCCAAAGTAATTCAGGAAGAAATGCTTTCAATACATGTAGTGCATAAGGATCTGTGTTAATGCTTATTTTTGCTCATTGGTTCCACATGAATCATCTGTGAGTTTGGAGTTTTTTGTGGTAATGTAGAAGTTCTTAATAAGTAGGTTCAGTAGCATTTTATATAATGTGTTGACGATGTTTTCGCGTGCAGGTTGGACCAGAGATTTGCTTGTTAAAAACACACGTGGATATATTGCCCGATTTTACACCAGATTTCGGCTCTCAGCTCCGCGCGGTACTTCCTCTTTCAATCTCATTTGCAACAATATTTGTTATGCCTTTCCCAATTACTAACTGATTGCCTCTGTCATAGCTTGAAGAATGTTTTACTTTCCTAATGCTATTTGATCATATCTATCTTCCTTCTCTTTAATGATTTCTCTGCACATGACTTATTAATTATGTTTTGTCGTTGACTTCATTTGTACTGAAGATTGCAGATAAGCACAACTTTTTAATCTTTGAAGACCGTAAGTTTGCCGACATCGGAAATACTGTAACTATGCAGTATGAAGGGTGAGATATACATGCTTTAACATTTTTTAGCTTCTATGCCTTTCCTATTTCAGGAATAACATCCAATGTTCTTTTTGTATAATAACAGTGTCTCTATGCCCACTATTGTATTGTTTCAGAGGTATCTTCCGCATTTTGGACTGGGCGGATATTACTAATGCACACATAATCTCTGGACCTGGAATTGTGGATGGCCTTAAGTTGAAGGTTTTTAAACTTCTAACATATCTCAATTGATGCATCATAATCAAATGTTCTGATATCAATTGATGCATCATAATCAAATGTTCTGATATGTATCTATTTAAATTTAATATTTATAGGGCTTGCCTAGAGGGAGGGGACTGTTACTACTTGCAGAAATGAGCTCTGCGGGTAACCTCGCCACTGGAGATTACACATCTGCTGCAGTAAAAATTGCTGAACAACATTCAGATTTTGTGATTGGCTTTATATCGGTTAATCCTGCATCGTGGCAAGGTGGGCCTGGGAACCCAGCATTTATTCATGCAACGCCAGGTGTTCAAATGGTTAAAGGAGGGGATTCCTTAGGCCAGCAATATAACACTCCTTATTCTGTAAGATTCTCTTTACTTTTTTTTCTTTTTCTTTTTTTTTGTGTACTGCTTGTTATTATTTTTTAAAGTTTGTAGGTTATATAAATATTAAAAAGCACGTTAGGTATGCGGGACATATTCTTTCAGAGTGATACTAGTATTTCAAATCCTCTATGCTACCTTCTAGCTAAACAAATGATCTTAGGATTGATAGCATTATTGATAGAATCCTATTTAACTCTAGTAGCTAAGCTTTTCCAGAGTAGAAATTGAAGCTGGTGCAATTTTTCCATCAAATTAGCCCTTGCAGTTACGCTCTCCGGATTAGAAAAAGGGAAACTGGTGCAATTTTTGGTCAAGTTATCTGTTACATTTAATCTATCTGTCGCATTCAGATTTATCTTTATATTCACTTTATCAGTCACATTCAAGTTGTATTTTTCAAGTGCATTATAGTTGCCTAGTGCATGCTTGTACTTTGCCTGTGTTTAAAAGAGCATGCATTCTTGGTATTAACTGTTTATTCCCCGTTAAGTTGTTTGCCCATGTACGTCATCCATTGTTGGTGTTCCTTTTGATTAAATTGATGAGAATGATACATGAATTCTTTATGGTAGCAATCATATGCAACACCTTGTCATGTGTAATTTTTCTTACTCTATGTTACTTTCAGATTAGCAAATGGGAAAAATCAAATAAAAAACAACAGCAACAGATTATCCATAATAGCTCCTAGTGTCTTCGATCACGGGTTACTATGACGCAAAAATCATAATTCTTTATGTATGGAATAGCTGGCAATATGCCAAATTCTCATGATAAAAAGCTGATGGTTTTTGCACCGTTATTTCCTGTTTCAGAACTTGCGAGATTGATGAATACCTTTTAACGTGGTTTCTAGCTGTTTAGTGAAACATTTCACTATTTTTGCAGGTTATACATGACAGAGGCAGTGATATCATCATAGTTGGTCGAGGGATTATAAAGGCATCCAATCCTGCGGAAGCAGCTAGCGAATATCGAGTTCAGGGGTGGGAGGCCTACAAGGCCAGTTGCTCGTAATGCACCTTGCCAATAAGTTTCGTCGACGACCGTAGCATCCTAGTTACCAAGAAAATTTTATGTTCTTATTTTATGGGAAAAAAAATATCATGTAATAATATGCGGAGCTTATAATGCAAGCTCCTGATTATTAGGAGGCTGGACTACGGCTTTGATGATGTAGTGCTTCTTGGTGCATAGGGTTTTGGTTTGGTAATAATCATCTGCGTAACATTTATCAGTCTTTTCATCGCCTCAAAAGTGGTTAAAGGTTTTGTTGACAAGTCATCTTTGTATGTAGATGAGAAAGACTCGCATAAGGCACTTAGCCAAAATTCTCAGCGGTGCATCGTACGTCGTGCGCAACTTATCAAAGGAATGCAGGCTCAATATTCGTAGATTCATACTTATAACAGAATGGCAAACATATTTCACTACAAAGGAGGAAAATGCAATATTATGGTCCATAAATAAATACTATATATACTAACACTCTTGATTTCTACATTTCACTTAGTTTTCCATTGATCACTACAGGCAAAGAGACCTTGCCATCAAGAGCCAAACTGAACACCTAACTCCAAAAACTCTCATTGCTCCCTCCAAATTCTACCTGTAACCCTAAGCTTCAGCTCCTTTCGATCTCCTCCAGAGAAAAACAATGCAATGTTTCTCTGTATTATAAGCCCATCATAACTGTCTCGAACCTTTCTATGGCTATCTCTGATGCTCCTCGGTACTCCTTGCCATGTCATCTTTCGTCCATTGGATCCGACCTCTAAACTGTAGCTGTAGTTTTTAGCTTCGCTATCGTCTCCCATGAAACGCAAGAATGCAATGTAGACTGGAGCCATGCCAATCTGAAATGCCTCGAAATGTAAGCAGAAGTACTGCCCGAAGCAACTGAAGACCTGGCAAAGTCATAGAACAGAAGCTCTGTAAAACATATTTTTCTATGGGGATTTTTGTCGTATAAGGCCCCCGAATCTTTGTATTTGTTCAGAATTGGTTTCATTTATTAAAACTTAATAGATGTGGGTCATATTTAAAACAACTTAACAGATTTGGAGGTCTTATTTTTACCCAAATCTTTGTATTTGTTTGAAATCTGGTTTTATTTAAAACAATTTAATAGATTCGTGCCTTATTTAAAACAACTTAATGGATTTGGAGGTCTGATTTAAAATGACTTAATGGCTTTGAGGGTGTACTTTAGGAATGAAGGTTTGGGGATTAGACTTAGAATAAATAAGTTTACTTCACGAAGGTGAAGGCAAAAATTCAAATGGAATGAAAGAGCAGGATTCATGGAGATTTGGGATAAAGATTTAGTTGTTGTTGTTTGCTGTTTGTATTTAGAATTAACAAAGATTTGGTAGTCTGATATAACAAAACCATTTCTTATAATGTTTGCTTTCATATTCTTCAGGTAAATTTCACCAAACTACCATGAACTTCGGAATTTTTCCACCAAGCTATTAAGCTTTTTATTACAGAAAACTGCCATGAACTTTTTTTTTAATTACTAAAACACCACAATCAACACCAGTTACGGTAAGTTGTCATGTGTTTCTCATATAATATGTTTTCTGGAAAAGTTTGCTCTTGTATATTTTACTGAGAGTTTTTGGGTTAGGGTTTCTAGATGTTAATAACGGTAGTTTAGACCTTTTATCCAAGACAGTTGACACTTTTAGCAACAAACTTTCAACAGTTTGCAATATTCACAGGTTTGAAAGTTTAGGGCAATTTTTCCTATTTAGAAAGTTTAGGGTAGTATCAATAAGTGTCAGAGAAGAAGAACATCATTAAAGCTCAGAAACAATACCGTTAGCATCCAGGTCGCATTCTCCACTTCATGTGGATTTGCTTTCACGTATCTATGATTGAAAGTGCTTCCATTATGCATGTCAACCTTATGATCATCTTTCAAATGATTCACCAAATAAGGAATATCACCTACTACAGTGCATTCAGATCCAGCATAAGGACAATTGTACGGCCGATACATGCACTGGGCTTCATGCTTCAGCTTGCAGTAGTAGGGATAAATACCGATACATCCAAAGCTCTCGTATTTACAAGGCAGTTCAAGAGAAGCAGCTATCTTTTCGAGAGCAAGACATCTGATGTTGCCAAGTTCATGTCTGCATGTGGGGCAACGGTTGTGTACCCTAGGTTTGCAGCCGGAGCATATAGTATGTCCATTTGAACACTGCATGCACAAATTTGAGGATGATAAACATTTGGATAATTCAAGGCAAACTACAAACAACATATCATCACCAGGGCATGGAATTTCACAAGAGATAATGGTTTTGAACAAAACATGTTATATAAGGCTATGCTCTGAAAAGGACAAGCAAACCGAGTATGCAATAAAAAAGAGTCAAAAAAAACTGAAAATATGCAAGGGTCTTGACTAGTTATAAGCCCTTTATTTTTTGTCATAAACTAAGCCATAACACAAATTCATACGGATACAGGATATGTAAGAGAGGACAAGGATGATGAATGACCAAACAACACGGCGCGCTAAGCTCTAAAGTAAACCTCAAAAACGGATATGAAGTTTAGAGTTAAATCAATAACTATTAAAATGGATCAACAAATCCAACGAGAGACCGATCGCGACCATACTCAATCAGAACTTGAATGAGGAAAACTTGTTTCTAAGAAGCGTTGATTGCTTGTTCATGAAGAAGCAAATCTGAAGCGACGATATAAACGCATCAAACTTCTGCTTCTTTTAGATGAATTTATCATGCTGCTGTGCATAACAAAATATTAGCTTGTCGTATGCGATAGACGCCAAAATACAAATTATGAGTCAATTTGATCAAATAAGTCGATGGCCATCATTTATGAAATATCTAAGTTCCAGAGATAAATATGTAAAACATATATACTATATAGCAACCCCCAGGGTCTGAGTACATGATCCTAAAATGAAGCACGCTTAGCATTACAATTACAAAAGAGCAGGACAAAATTAACTACACCAATGAAAAAGACCACGTATCGCGCAATGCCGATAGCATGAAGAATGTGAGATGAGGATACCTGATGGATGGGTGGGTACATTGCATTCAAGCAGACGGGGCATTCCAAGAGCTCGCGAACGTTGCCGGCGACAACAACACTTGATTTGGATGAGTGCTGAATTTGCTCTCCAAGATGTTCGGCGCTCTCAATATTGTCTTCGTTTATGGGGGTATCCGCGACCTCGAGACTGACTCTCACATCATCAAAATATGCAACCCCGGAGGCCATGACTAAGGAGCAAAGCGACATATTCAGAAATTAGTGATTTCTTTCATATTTACAGACTAACTAAATCTAATTTGGTAGCCGGAACTATGCAAATTCTCACGAACCCAACAAATTGTGCTTACGATATCGTAACCCAGTGAACTGAGGCTCTCATGAACCCTAAATTCACATATAAAATATCTTCCTTTGCTTTAAAAAAACGAATTTGGACTGAAACAGATGCAAATTTATCCAATTTATAAGCTTTGGAGCTCGTAGAATCAACAAGGTGACACCTTTTGTTGAATTTTCGCATTAAAGTGTAGCAATCTCAATCAATTAATCAGAACAAATCCCTCAGATCTACCCAAATACGAAAACAAACAAAACCCAGACTAAATGTAATAAAAAAAATTCAACTTTGTATTGAAGAGTGCAGCATTAAAGAACAAGTAAGAAGAAAAAAAAAGAAACAAAATTTTAAAGAGAAGTCTGGTCACCTTCAACGGAGAAGAAGCCAAAACCCCCAAACCTTAGCTTTGAAAGAAAGAAGGGAGGGGGGGTAGAATTCGAAATAAAAGGCCCGTTGTCAAATCTTCACTTTTGTCTGCTTTTTTCAATTTTTTATTTTGATTTCGATTTGATTTTTTTTTTGGGATTTTGTTTTCTCGGGGAGAGGGAGACAGCGGTGTGGTGTCCGCTCGGATCATCGGGAAGGCGCAAAAAGCAGTACCCGCCGAATCACCGTCCTAATTTAACGGCGGATTTTAGTTCTGGGGCTTTGTTAGTTTACTGACACGTGTCCGATTGGTCTGTTCAAATTCAGACGGCCGTTGTCTTTGTCTGACGCGTTCCTATGACCCGGGCCCACCGTGTTAGGTTTTATGGCGATAAACCCCAACTACTATTTTGTATTTACTGAACTTATTGAAGTCAAAAATTCATTTTGCTGAATATTTGTGCTTGAAAATTCAGTTTATGATATTAGTATTTTTAAAAGCTCATGAGATCCTTCTTTTGGGCGTAGATCATATCAGAATATCTCGGATATTTTTATAACAAAAATTCCATGGGGACCTCAAATCCATTAGATCAGGAGGGGACATGTGAGCTGTCACCTCCTGGTTGCATGATCTACTGTTCATGAACAGTAGATCATGCAACCAGGAGGTGACAGCTCACCTGTCCCCTCCTGGTCCCATGGATTTGGGTTCCCGTAGAACAACCATTTTTATAATGCGTGAGCGGAATAGAAGAATAAGTTAAATATTTAAATTGCCCCCCTAAGATCGGGGATAGCTAGTTTTCATGCTGAACTTTTTTAATTGATTTAGTTGTCACTTTTTCTACTAAATTAATATAGCGTTTTTTTACAAGTTGTTGTGCAAGATGAATTTTTGAACTAATCTATGTTATGTTTTGTATATTTTTAGTCTAGATTTCACGAAACTCCTAAACTTTGAGAGTTTTCACAAAGAACCTGTAACTTTTGTGGTGTCTTGCAAAATCTTCCATAAACTTTTGAAATTTTTCACAGCAACTGAAAAGAGTTTTGGAGACGAAAAAGTTGGTAAGGGTTTATCAAAGTTATGGGGGTTTTTTATGAAAATTTACTCTTCATATATGTTTTTATGCATTATTTCAAACTTTGGTGTAAGAAAGATACATTTGAACAAGAAAGCTCGTAACATTTGAACCCCTTTTTAGGTCCCGTACCAAATAAATGAGCACGCGCCACTGGGTTTTATGTCAGCAGCTGAGCTCTGCGTACTTTTTCACAAAAACCCATATACATGATTAGTAAATTACAAAACTTCTTTAGTTACGAAGCCCCCAGGTTTTCTCAAAATTTTCAAAACTTAGCAAGGACTGCCTACAAAAGCTTATGGGAATTTGAAGCTGCTGTCAAATGTCAGATGAAATGGAACAATTTCGTTCCTGAGGACCAGCATACAGCTCAATTAAATATCTGCTAACGACTAACTACTTAATTAATTGCTTCGCCCTTTTTTACTTTTCAAAAATAATCTATATTCGTGTATTTTCTTGGGGTTTTTTCTTTCCATAGAAATCACCTTTAAAATAGGATTATTCTATATAAACCATCCTTGATTGTTAATTTTGTTGATGTCAATTATCGAACAGGGGGTATTCTGTAAATTATGCGAGTGTTGGGGGTCCTCAAACTTCCTCAGATGGTTGGTTCTTGTGTCAGATGTTCTATTCTGCACATGAAGAACTCATGAGAGACTGGGGTTGGGGTGTCTAGTGGTTCCTCCGAAGATCAAATCTGTTCGGTTCATGTTAAGTCTAGTTTGGTTCATGTTAAGTCTAGTTTCATGTTAAGTCCAGTTTGGTTTATGTTAAGTCTAATTTCATGTTAAGTCCAGTTTATCATGTTAAGTCCAGTTTGATTCGTGTTAAGTTCAGTTTGGTTCGTGTTAAGTCCAGTTTAAATTATTTTAAGTCTAATTTAAATCGTTTTAAGTCTAATTTCATATTAAGTCCAACTTGATTCATGTTAAGTCCAATTTAGTTCATGTTAAGTCCGATCTAATTCATGTTAAGCCCGATCTAATTCATGTTAAGTCTAATTCAACTTTTTAAAGTCTAATTTCATGTTAAGTCCAATTAAATTAGACTTAAAACAAGTTAAATTAGACATAACATGATTTAAATTAGACTTAAAAGGAATTAAATTAGACTTAATATGAATTAAATTGGACTTAACATGAAATTAAACTTAAAACAAGTTGAATTAGAAATTAGACTTAAAACAAGTTAAATTAGACTTAATATGAATTAAATTGGACTTGAAACAAGTTAAATGAGACATAACATGATTTAAATTAGACTTAACATGAACCGAATTAGACTTAACATGAAATAGATTTTCATGTTAAGTCTAATTCAACTTTTCAACTTGCTTTTAGACTTAACATGAAAGAATAGAGGAGATAAGGGTATTTTGGGGGCTTTTTACTTTTTATTCTTTCTATATGCTTAGTTGGTATGTAATAATTGCTAAAAAAGGATTGCAGAACATAGTGTCTTATTTTAAGGGCTGAACTATATGGAAAAAAGTCAAAGGGGCTGCAGCACATTAAGATTTTGCTTTTGGGGCATTGACACAATTTTTCCAAATATTAATCTACATGAATAAGTCGACATGTGTCTTACACTATGCCTAACCAAACTATTTCAAGACCAAGATAACCTCCGTCTCAGCACGGCCGACTTGATTGGCCGACAACTCGTGTAACCAAGTCAAAAAACGATACTATTCATCCAACCCCTCAATTGACTCCACAAGCGATCCGACTCGGCCCTCTATTCAACCGACATCTTGCGTAATCGAGTCAAAAGACGGTATTTTTTGGCCCTGGACCTGATGAGTTGAAGTACGACAGCTACATCGAACCCCCTCGCTAGCTGGTTACTCTCGCATTAATTATCCTGACAACATCATCATTACTCTAGCGCCCATAGTCTTCATGACTCATCGGACTCAGTCAGCACCAAGCATCTGTTATCATTCCCATAATAAATGGTCAGGTGACTCACCTCATTCAACAACCGACACATGACACTTATCTCCCGACTCAGCTGCCTAGCTGGACTCGACCAAAGTTACTTTATTGCCCCTCAAACCCACTATAAAAGGAACAACACTGTCTGAGGTAAGGCTCTCTAGCCTTATTTACGTAACTAAGAACTAACTCTATACTTCCCCCCTCAAGATCACCTACTGACTTGATCGTCAAAGGAACAACCGGAGAATCCAACTCCGCTCTCTTATGAGTTTCCTTCATGTGCAGGGAAAAACAGCGAATCCCCAAACCATTGATCAAAAGGAGTTAGAGCACCCTGATCACTCCGCAAACTCTCAAATAACCCTCTGTTTTATAACTGACATCAATAGATGTAAATAAGATGATGGATATATGTGAATTTGATGTAAATAAAACTATTGGTTTGGTCTCACAAAACCCCAATGAAATTTCAAAAATTTTTGGCAGAACCACCCCTCCTTGATAAAGGTTCCGTCTATATAATCATAATATAGTTTTGTAAAAAAAACACGTCAAACACAAAATACATACTTCACAATATACATTATAAGTCCATACAACATCATACAAACTAACAAATACAACAATAAGTCCACCTTAATCAAAATACATCAACAAGTCCATACAATATGAAATAAACTAACAAATACATGAACAAGTCCATCTTAACCAAAATACATCAAGAAGTCCATACAACATGAAAGACATCAATAAGTCCATGCAACATCAAAATTAAAATACAAAAAATAAATTCATGCAAAAGCTAATAACCATACACAATACACTAAAATATAAAACTTTATCACGAAACACCTTCTTTGCTCTTGCAAACTAGCTCCTATGTACTTGTTCTCCTTCTTTATTTACACTATTTTTTATCTAAAATATACCAAAGATATACAACTTGGTCAAGAGAAATGCATCAAAATAAAAGATATAAAAAGTAGATCATGTTTGTAGCTAGTACCTTAGCTAAAGAACAACTTGTTATATAATGTCCTTTTCTGTCACAAAATCCACAAATTCTTTGTTTTTTTAATAGCCTTTTCTTGTGCTTTCTCTAAAGTCTGCTTATTCTGATGATTATATTGCAGGCATTGCTTCTCAATAGCAAGCTTAGCCTGCATTTTCTGTAATCGCCTCTGTTTCTCTGCTGTTTCTTGAGATGTCATAGTCTCTCGTTTGTCATCTTGTAGTCTATTTGAAGTTTTTTGATGCTTAGTATCACCATTGCAAACACCATAATTAGCACAAAGAGGTCTGTCTTGGCTTTGATCTATATGAACATGTGGGGTGAATGTCACTTGATTGGAGGATCCAGGGTGTACTATAGCACTATCTGCATTCGATGTTTGCAAAGGAGTTGTGGCAGAACTGTGAATGTCTGTACTTTCCATACGCTGGCGTTGGTTAGAATTATCCTTTAAGTTCCTTGATATTATACTCTTCCTCCTTTCTTCTGATTTACACAGAGGACTAGATATCATTTTTTGCCCATCTACCTGCAATAATGGAAATCCACAAGGCACTTAAATATCAAAGAGTTCCAAAAATGGCAAAAAGTAAAATATAGGCTAACACATTAAAAAATCTTCTGCTTTGCATTTGAAAATACTGACTGAGGGGAAATACTTAACTGCATAATTAGGCATTCTACCATACAACAATATGACGCAACTTTATAAACACATGCCATATACACTCTAGAGGATAGGATAGTGGCTATCTTAATGGAAGAGCTAGCCTTTAAGAGAATTGATGGGACAATATGATTCCTGTGGCCAACCCCAAAAATTCCATGTAAATGCTTTGTTGTTGTTGTAGTAGTAGTAGTAGTATACCAAATGACCCTTCAACTGCACCAGTGTTATAATGTTATACTCTTGGGTACCCTCTTCATGGGCCAAGACTCACATGGAGGAATCTTTTTTTTAATCTGCATTAGATACGAAACAAGCAAGATCTGAAGCTGGGTTGTTGTGGTTCCGTGTTAAAAGACCCTTCCACTACACCAAAACTCTAAAGTTGTTGTGTGCGTTAAGGATTAAAATTTTATACTCAACAATATACAATAAAGGATACATACACAACAATGTGTAACCAAAAAACCCACAAGACTAGAGACACCTTCAAACATTCAATACATCTAAAATTACACAAAGATATAGACCACCTACCTTCTCTTTCTGTGAGGGACGTCTTCGTTTGTCATGATCATGCAACTGAAAAGATGTGCAGTCTTCATTTGAGGTTTTATCTCTGAACAGTAGTAGATCCTGAGGACATGAGAAATCATGTTAATGAGTGTGCAATTTCCTCTACATTACATGGGTGCATATCAGAATCCGCAATAGGACACTTACAGGCATTGGAATTGATTCAGTGCCATTAATGAGATCTTGAGATGCAGAAACAAACCCATCTCCATCGCGTCCAAATATGGAGTCATTTTTTCTGCAGATTCGCAATGTTTTAGGCTAGCTGACAAGATAGCACCACTCAAATTTGGAAAGCCTAAATAAAGACTTACAAATCAAATGCTGATAATGTAAAAGAAAAAAAAGAAGTAAAAGCATGATTTATGGTAATCAAGAATTCACATTTACCAGCATTACCTAAAAAGTTTCTCGATATCATCAAAATCTCCAAAATTACCCCAATAACAATCAAGAAGATCCCCATTCTCTTCATGATCAAACAGATCAGTCTCATGATCTAGCAGCATCGGATCACCCGTTGAGTCACTGATGAATTACTCAGAGATTATGAACTGTTTTATGAAGCGTGCAATTAAAATCACCAAAAGATATGATGCTACCTGTCATTAAATTCAGGTTAGTTGCATCAGTAAGATCATTCATTAATTCTGTTACTGAACTGTGATTATTTCCGTCAGTGAACTCATCCCTAGGTTCCATGCTTAAGTTAGAAAAACCAGACAACTGATCCATCTCGATTCTGGAAGAAGCAAGTTCTTCATTTGTATGAATACTAGAGCTGTTCTCTAATTTACGATGTAAATGACCATTTTCACTCTGAGAAGTTTGCCCAGTAGCCCTGACATCAATGGTGGCACCTTCATCTTTCTTATCCGCTCTGTAATCACCAGCAGTAAATGCGCAGTCTACAGTTTTCATGGGATGAGGCACAATAAGCTCTTCACTCTCAATTATCTCAGACCATAATGAGACGGGCTAGCTGAAAATTTATAATACATGTATTTAATACTTTAGCAACTCACACATGGAAGGCTGTCAATTTGATTACAGAATATCGTATTTTAAAAAAAATGAAAGAAGAAGAGAACTCTTTAAGTAAGACACAGATTGCATGCTTGCTACCTCATAGCTAAGAGTTCACACAAAACCTATCAACAGGAAGGAAAATATATGAGGAAAAGGTAGAAGCAGAAGCAACTGAGAAGGGCATCATCATCATCGACAGATATTGTTCAGATACAACACTCCACATTCTATACTGTATTTTTATAAAACTACGAATATTATCCGGCAACAGTCGGGCTCTGATGAATATGACAAAACTTGGGGAGGAAATAAGTTACTTCTAGTCAGATGCTAGAAACATATAATATTACATTAGTTTGACTTTCTCTGCGTAATTGCATTGCATTGTGCAATAGTTGATAATACATATAAATTTTGATATGTTTCGTATGTTCAGATATGCATTTGACTTAATTGCATTTGATATAAATTTTGATATGTTGCGTAATTGCATTGTGTTAGCGTGAGTCTATATTAGGAAGTAAATAATATTGTAATTATGGGTATTAATTACGTAGTTGATTAGAGGAAGTTTCCTTCTGTAATTAGGTAATTAGTTTCTTTCCTAAATTTCTTTCAAGCCCTATATAAAGGGTCCTTTGTATTATGTTAATAGATGGAATTCAATTTATTCTCTTAAATATCTCTCTCTAATATTTGACTTGGTATCAGAGCGTATAGATCTCGTTGTGTTAGGGTTCATCTAGGCTTCGTCGTCCTTGAACGGCCGTCTTTATCACCGTCATCTCGCAACTCTTTGTTGCATTCGTTCACCCACAGCCAACCACCACACCTATATCAAAATCTTCCTCACTCCAAAACGATCGTTCCGGCGTTCGAATCATCACGATTAGAGTTTTTCACACCCAATATTAATGGGTGAATCACAAATTCAAAAGGTCGAGGTATCTGTTCGAAGTTCTGAAGGGAGTTCCTTTGGAGGTACCAAACTTAATGGTACTAATTTTCGTACTTGGAAGAAAATTATGTCCGCTTTTCTCCGCGGGATACATAAGATGGGGCATGTCAATGGAACAATCAATGCTCCTAGTGAAGCTGATACTGAAGCTTTCGATAAATGGGAAGATGATGATGGGTATGTGATGTCTGTATTGTACAAGGCAATGAGTGATGATGTGTTACAGATGGTAGAGGAGTGTGAAACCGCTGAAGCCATACGGAAGACGTTGGGGGATCTCTACACCAATGAGCCTGACTTCATACAGGTTCATGAATTAATGTGCAAAGTTGCCAGAATGCAACAAAATGGACAACCAGTGTCAGTGTTTTTCACTAAATTGAAGAATGTATGGGCTGAAATTGATCAGAAACGTCCTTGTAAAATCAAGAATCCCGAGGATATTGCGTGGTACCAAAGGGAAAAGGAACTTGAGCGGGTTCATGCCTTCTTAGGAGGACTCGACGCTAAACATAGTAGTGCTAAAGGAGAACTGCTCAGAATGCCTGAACCTCCTAGTCTGACTGCAGCCTTTGCATACATCCGCAAGGATGAATCCCAACAAGACAGTCTCCAACGTGCACATGTTGAAGTTTCCAGTCTGGCAATTCAGTCCAACCCATCTGGCATTCAGTCCAAGCCACCAGCACCCTATAATCAACAACAAGGGTCACTTCCACTTCATCAGCAACGACCTCCACCAGGCTACAACCGTCCAAAATGTACCTACTGTAATGAATTAGGGCATGTTCGAGAAACGTGTTGGAAGCTAAATCCGCATCTTAAACCTCAGAAGCAGGGTTATCGTAATAAAGGAAAAGTTGCTGCCGTTCAGTTGGTTCCAGAATCAGATTTCTATGGCATAACTGGACAGGATCATCACTCATCAGGAGGTGCTACTCCCACTGCATCAATAGCTGGTCGAGGTAAAATCGGTATGACATTAAATGTTTCTCATTTTGTTAATTCTGATACTTGGATTATTGATTCTGGTGCATCTGATCATATGACTTATGATAAATCTTATTTTACTGAGTTGTCTCCCCCACCAGTGTCTCATGTTACTAATGCCAATGGTGAAGCTTTTCCTGTGTTAGGAACAGGATCTGTCCGTATTACCCCGACTTTAGAACTTCATCATGTTCTATATGTTCCTGCATTATCTCATCACTTATTATCTGTTCCCCAATTAAATACTGAATCCAAATGCTCTGTGACCTTTTATCCCATGTATGTACTTTTTCAGGATCTTCTAACCAGGGAGGTAATTGGAAGGGGGTATCTGAGGGGCAGATTATTTCATCTGGATCAGATGTACGCTGGGGAGAGACCAGGAGCACCATCCCGTGCCGCTTTGATCTCGAATTCTGATAAATTAAGTGAAGTTTGGTTGTGGCATCGCCGTTTAGGGCATCCCTCTTTCAGTGTTATGAAAAAAACTATGCCTACTCTATTTATTGGTGTTGATGAATCAGTTTTATGTTGTGAAACTTGTGTTTTGGCTAAGAGTCATCGTGCTACTTATTCTTCCAGTCTTTCTAATAAAAGTGTTATTCCTTTTGCTTTGATTCATTCTGATGTTTGGGGGCCCTCTAGAGAGTCTACCGTTTCAGGTATGCGATATTTTGTGTTATTCATTGATGATTGTACAAGACTGTCATGGGTAGTTCTACTTAAAACCAAAGATGAAGTCTTTTCAGCCTTTCAAGCTTTTCGCAATCTTATTCACACACAGTATAACAGTACCATTAAAATTCTTCGGTCTGATAATGGGGGGGAATTTGTCAATAATGCCTTCCGCGAATTTCTTCAAACGCATGGTATTATTCATCAAACCACGTGTCCTCAAACACCAGAACAAAATGGAGTTTCTGAAAGAAAAAATCGTCACTTGCTTGATATGACTCGTGCCCTTCTCTTTTGTGCTCATATGCCTAAATACCTTTGGGGTGATGCTGTACAAGCTTCCTCCTATCTTATTAATCGCCTTCCTTCTAGTGTACTTCAGGGAAAGATTCCACTCGAGGCACTTGCATCTCATGTGTCGTTACCGTCATTTCATAACCTTCCAGCTCGTGTCTTTGGTTGTGTTGTCTTTGTTCATATTCCTAAAAATCAAAGGTCAAAGTTAGATGCCCGAGCGATTAAGTGTGTGTTTGTTGGTTATGGAGGATCTCAGAAGGGGTACAAGTGTTATCATCCACCTACTCGCAAGTATTATGTCACTATGGATGTTACTTTCTTTGAAGACATGAGTTATTTCTCCTCATCTGACTCTGCTCTTCAGGGGGAGAATTCGTATTTTGAAGAGCTATCTCATAGTGAGGAGGAAAATCCACAGGTAGAAGATGTTATACAGGCTGTTCCAGTTGACATTCAGATTCAAACACCAGTTCAGACACAAGAACTCATGACTGCCCCCTCTACTACTGCTCATACCCCCGATCCACAACTTCCTCCTGGTGCTGAAGATCACTCATTCGAGGTATGTTCCCCCACTAGTACTACTAGTAATGAGTCTAGTGTGTTACCTAATCGGTCAACCCGTGGTCAGCCAGCCAAAAGATATGAACCTTCCCTTCATGCCAAATCAAAATATCCAGTTGCAAATTACATTTCCACTAGTAGATTATCTAAGTCATATGAATCATTTGTGAGTCGCAAAAATGAATACTATTCGGGTTCTACTATCTCTTGCGGCGATTTTTAATTGGCCTCTTCAACAGTTTGATGTCAAGAATGCCTTTCTTCATGGAGAATTGGCTCAGGAAGTTTACATGGCTCTCCCACCAGGGTATGTGGCAGCTTCTTCTGGTGATTTTGTCTGTAAATTGGAGAAATCATTATATGGGCTCAAACAGTCTCCTCGCGCATGGTTTGGAAGATTCTCACAATTCATGAAGAAGGTGGTTATAGACAAAGTAACTCAGACCATACTCTATTTCTGAAGCACCAACAAGGGAAGGTAACAGCATTGATTATTTACGTTGATGATATGGTAATCACAGGTGATGACACTATTGAGGTTGATAGATTGAAGAAACAGTTGGCCTCTGAGTTTGAAATGAAAGATTTGGGAGAACTTAAGTATTTCTTAGGGATTGAGGTAGCAAGGGGGAGTGAAGGAATCTATTTGTGTCAACGGAAGTATATTCTTGACCTGCTGGCAGAAACTGGCATGTTGGATTGCAAACCTGTTGACACTCCTATTGAACAGAATCATTGTTTAGCAGAGTATCCAGACCAAATACCGACTGATCGAGCTCGCTATCAGAGATTAGTTGGACGTTTAATCTATTTGGCTCATACTAGACCAGATGTGGCTTATGCTGTCAACGTGGTGAGTCAGTTCATGCATAATCCAAGTACGAGTCACATGGATGCAGTAATCAGAATTTTGAGATACTTGAAGTCATCCCCAGGAAGAGGAGTGATTTTTTCTAAACACAATGATTGTCTCGAAGTTTGTGGTTTTACGGATGCAGATTGGGCTGGGAGTGTTACTGATAGAAGGTCGACTTCAGGGTACTTTACCTTTGTAGGAGGTAATCTTGTTACGTGGAAGAGCAAGAAGCAGAAAGTTGTGGCTAGATCGAGTGCTGAGGCCGAGTATAGGGGGATGGCTCATGGAGTATGCGAATTGTTGTGGTTGCGAGCCTTATTGTGTGATCTGGGTTTCGAACCTAAAAATGCTATGCAGCTGTACTGTGACAACCGGGCAGCCATTGATATATCACAGAATCCAGTCCAGCATGATCGTACTAAGCATGTGGAGGTTGATCGTCATTTCATAAAGGAAAAGCTAGATGCCAACCTTATTAGCTTTCCTTTTGTCTCCACAGAAGAGCAGCTTGCAGATATCCTCACAAAAGGGGTTTCGAAAAGGGCATTCTACGACTCACTTAGCAAGTTGGGCATGGTTGATGTGTATGCCCCAACTTGAGGGGGAGTGTTAGCGTGAGTCTATATTAGGAAGTAAATAATATTGTAATTATGGGTATTAATTACGTAGTTGATTAGAGGAAGTTTCCTTCTGTAATTAGGTAATTAGTTTCTTTCCTAAATTTCTTTCAAGCCCTATATAAAGGGTCCTTTGTATTATGTTAATAGATGGAATTCAATTTATTCTCTTAAATATCTCTCTAATATTTGACTCATTGCGCAATAGTAGTAGATAACTCCGAAATTTTGTCGCTCTGCGCGTTAACTTAAACATACTAAAACGGTACCCACCAACGTCTGTGCAGGATTACGCTCAACTTTACAGCCCTAGACGTCATATATTTGGACTTTGGACTCAGGATCTTCACAACATCTGTATTAGAAATTCTTGGTCAGTCCAAGGAGAAGGGCGTCGTGATTCATTTGAGCGATGGTTATGCGTGACAGAGATGGTTCGGAAACAAGGCAAAATGTTTATGGAATAATGCGCAAGGCAAAATGTTTAAGGAATAATGTGCTACGCGGGATAACGACTTAGAAAAACATTAAAGGAACCTTTAAACATATAAAAACCGAACTTTCATACTCTTCTCTTTGAATCTAAACTAAAAAAATTTATTAATGCATTAAGGATCATATTGTTTTCCTTTAAGAAGTAATTGTTGGGTACCAACTCAAACTCCAAGTCGGATGCGGGTTTGAAAACTAGGCTCAATCTTAGTAGTTTTTAGAGAGGTCAAGTTAACTTAACGGGCAAGTCAGGGGTGTCTTTAAATAAGACCTCTTATTATAGGGTTTAGAGTAGAGAGAAGGAGAGAGACAATATTCTTGTAATCAATGTTTTAGAGGGTGTAACCGGGTTCAATGGTATTGTGATAGAGAGGGTTTGGCAGTATTTGTCCGTATAAAAGATTATAATTTGAAGGTGATAGTGGATTGATTTTGATCCCGTGTTTTTTTCCTGTTGAGAGTTTTCCACGTTAAATCTTGTGTGATTTTATTTGCTGTGTTTGATGGTTTTTCGGGGTTTTTACAAGATCTAAAAATCCCAACAAGTGGTATCAGAGCGTGGTTAGACGGTTCGTGGAGATTCGAGCATCGGGATTTGTAAGGGCATCGGTGATCGCGACACTGTAGGGGTGACATACTGTAGCAGATAGCTGAATACTGTTTCGGGCACTGTTCACGATGATCCGACGGTTCGTAGAGGTTTGATCGATGCGCGATTGTGAAAACGTCAGCGGGCAAAGCGTCATGATCGACATCAGCAAAAAAATTACTGTAGTGACAACACTATTGTGGGGGGTACTGTAGCAGGGGTGCTGTTCACGCGGATCCGACGGTTGAGATTAATTTGTCTTTTGATCGAGTATTTGAAGGCGGATTTTGGTGAACCAGGAGTCGTTCCTAGGGTTTTTCGACATGCTGAGTTCGTTTTTAGCGTTGGTTTTATCAAATTCAATCTCTACAGTGAGTGATTTGAATTTTGATTACGGTTAGAGGATGATGACTTCTTTAAATCTGAAATTTGATATCTCGCTATTCAATGGTAAGATAAATTTTGCAGTATGATAGTACACGGTTCAAGATATTCTTGTGCAACAGAGTGTTGATCAAGCTTTGGAGGAGAAGAAACCTGAAGGATTGAAGGATGCTGAATGAAGTTCTATGCAAAAGAGGGCAGTTAGCACAATTCGTTTGGCACTCGCCCTCGAGATCAAGTACAATGTTATGCAAGAGACCACACCAAGAGGGTTGTGGGAAAGGCTCGAGGGGATTTATGGGTCGAAATCGATGACCAATCGATTGTGTTTAATGATGAAGCTTTATTCGTTGAAAATGGAAGAATGTACTGCAATTGAAGATCACATCAATGCCTTTAATCAGCTAGTTTGCCAACTTATGAATATTGATGAGGAGATTAAAGAAGAAGAGCAGACGTTACTCCTATTATCGTCCTTACTGAAGTCGTACAAATCATTAGTTCAGACGATAATTACAGGGAAGCAGACTTTGAAGTTCGACGATGTGACAACACTCCTACATGAGAATGAAAGAATGATGGGAAAGGAGAGCGCATCTAATGGTGATGAGAGTGCACTAGATTTTGAAGGTTCTAATCGAGGGAGGAGTAATGAGAGATGTGACAGTTATCGAGGAAGATCAAAATCTCGAGCCCGAGACGACAACGAAAAAGAGTTATTATTACGGAGAGAAGGGCCACATTCGGTTCAGATGTTCCCAGATGCGTGATGATTTAAAGAGTATTAGACAGATGAAACTTCAAGAAAATAAGAAGAAGGCAGACTCCTCAGTGTTTGTGTGTGATGAAGATGTTGTGTTATTGATGCAGAGTACAAATATTGATGCGAGTAACACTTGGGTGTTAGATTCTGCAGCCTCTATGCACGTTTGTAATAACAAAAATTATTTCAATATATTGAAGACAGATGAAGAATTTAACGATGTGATTGTTGAAAACAACGAGAAGATGAAGGTTGAAGGTGTTGAAAGTGTTCGTCTCAAGCTTCACACTGGGAGGTCGGAATTCTTCATCATGTGAGATGTGTGCCGAAATGTGGTGCTAATTTAATTTTGTTAGGTGAGATGACATCGCGTGGGTACAAGTATGTGGGTGAATAAGAGTGGTGTAAAGTGTATAGAAATGATGATTTGATTTTGCAAGGGACAAAGAATAGCAACCATGTTTGTTATTTAGATGGACGATCTGTTAATGATGTAGATGACTCTTCTCAGACTCTTGTCCACGAGAAAGAGGTGAAGAACAAGAAGAAGAGAGTGAGTTTTTCTGAAAACGTTGAGACACTTGGAGATTTTTCGTCGAGGGATGATATGTTGGGTACCAACTCAAACTCCAAGTCGGATGCGGGTTTGAAGGCTAGGCCCAATCCTAGTAGTTTTCGTAGAGGTCAAGTTAACTTGGCAGGCAAGTCAGAGGTGTTTTTAAATAAAGCCTCCTATTTTAAGGTTTAGAGTAGAGAGAAGGAGAGAGACAATATTCTTGTAATCAAGGTTTTAGAGGGTGTAACCGGGTTCAAGGGTATTATGAGAGAGAGAGTTTGTCAGTCTTTATCCGTGTAAAAGATTATAATTTTAAGATGATAGTGGATTGATTTTGATCCCGTGGTTTTCCCTTGTTGAGGGTTTTCCACGTTAAATGTGATTTTATTTGCTGTATTTGGTGGCTTTTCGGGGTTTTTGCGAGATCTAAAAATCCCAACAGTAATTTGGTGAGTTTCCCTGCTCTTTTGGTTTCAACTACTCTTTTTTGTCAAATTAAACACTAGCTTATCACTTGATTCATAGATTGAAGATCCGTTGATAGCAGTTCAATTGCAACTTCCCCACTAAAACGTCAACTTTAAGAGATTAAGACCTTAAAAAAACACCCTAAATTCAACACGGATCCCAGTGCTACAGCAAAATAACGAAACCCTATTCACACTAGAGAGAATCAGAGCAGAACCTGATCTTGCTCGCTCCAATTAGACACCATCCTCGTCAAAGAATCGGCAGGAGACCTCGAGCTCAGCGCCCGCTCGAACCGATTCGGACATCGCAGGAACGAGACAAAGGAGAGAAAGTCGAGAGATTTTTTTTTTGGGAAAAATGCTTCCAGCCCCCAAAAGCCAAGTGAACGTGTTTCCCACCCCCAAGACTTGGTCAATAGGTGTTTTACCCCTAAAAATAAAAATTTTGTTCTCTGAGCCCCAAAACACAAAACCCAAGACATTAAAACATGTGAAGACCATAATACCATTCTCTCTCTCTTTCTTTTTTTATTAAAATATGATGATGATTATTTTATTATTTCTCTCTCTCTCTCTCTCTTTATCATGATGTACCAAGAGGATCTTTAGATAGGTAACCCTAACAATTAAACCCGTAACCTTAACAATTAAACCCGTAACCTTAACAATTAAACTCGTAACTTTAACATCAAATCCACAACCTTAACAATAAATCCACAACCTTAACAACAAACCCTTAACCTTAACAACCAACCCGTAACCTTAACAATCAACCCGTAACTTTAACAACCTCCCAATACAAACAACCAAAATAATAAAAAACGAAAATAATAAAATAATCATCATCAATCATTTCAACTATCCTCTTGGTACATCATGATAAAGAGAGAGAAAAAACAAAAAAAATAAAATAATCCTCCGTCATATTTTAATAAAAAAAGAAAGAGAGAGAGAAGGGTATTATGGTCTTCACATGTTTTAATGTCTTGGGTTTTGTGTTTTGGGGGCTCAAAGAACAGATTCTTTATTTTTAGGGGTAAAACACCCATTGACCAAGTCCTGGGGGTGGGAAGCATGTTCACTTGGCTTTTGGGGGCTGGAAGCATTTTTCCCTTTTTTTTTTTGAAAAAGATGAGAGGAAGATGAGGGCCCGTTTGGATTGTTTTTTTTGAGCTGTAAAATGGAAAAAAACTGTCAAAAATGTCAGCTTTTTGGCAGTTTTCCCCCAAAATCGTCTATTTAAGAGGTGATTTTGGAGGAAAGCTGTCAAAAAGCTGACATTTTTGACAGCTTTCCCCTATTTTACAGCTCCAAAAAATCAATCCATACAGGCCCTGAGGGAGCCTGTGGGGCCCAAGGAGACACGTAGAGATGAGGTCAGGTTGTGTGTACGGACTCCATCGAATACTCGAATGTTATTGGTTGGTCGCGAGTTCGGGTGCGGGTTATCGGGTTTGCTTCTGAAAATGCGCCCGCTCTTGGGGGGATTAATTACAAATACACTCCTAAAACTATTTTATTAGCATTTACACTGTTCGAACAATCACCTCAAAACAAATTCTTTAAAGACCACAGTATAAACATACAAGCCTTTTTAAGTTTATTCTCATACAAAATGCCACATCCAACAACAAACAGGTACAAGATTGAATTAAGGGGGAAAAAAAAATACATGATGATAAAATGATAAACAGAGATGATGATAATCTTCTCATTCTTTCCCATTGATAAGGGAGAGCAAGGCATCCCTATAGTTTCCATGTGTGTTGGTAGCCACAACATCTTCAAGTTTAGCTCCGTAAAGCTGATGATGGACTTCTTTGATTTCTGTCATATCGGTCTCTGACCGAGAAACCAGTACTCGATTCAGGGCTTCCTTTTCGATCTTATGCGCTCCTTCTTTGAAAGCTTGGTTTATTATCTGAAACACGAAAGGATGAGTTTAACATATAGCGTAATATTTAATAAATGGCGAGATTATAATTTATGGATAACCAAGGTAGAGGTTGGCCTATCCGAAATTGTTAATTTGAAAGCAATCGAGAAAAATGTGATAACGGTTAACCAGGTGGATGAGATGGCACTTACTAAACAAAACTGAATGGAAAAATAGGATTCATGTAGCTGAGACCAACAATTAAATTTGCACAAAACACCCTAAACTTTACGAATCATAGAAACCCCCTGAACTTTCAAAACTATACTAAAACCCCTTTGTGCTACTGGAAATTCCCATAAATCATGTTTAACAGGTATCGACCCTTTGGTGTTTACCTTGCAGAAATATGTAGGAGGTGAGTTCAGACACTGAACTGTCTCTAGCAAGCATGCATCATCAGCAAGATCCTGAGCATAGCATTGTCAGAACTACATGTCAGGAATTAATTTTAGCTAGTTGATAAAGAAGTAGAAAAATATGTTGAAAATTCAAATTACCTCTTCAATGGATTTCCCGTACATTTCCTTGTATAAATTGAAGGTAAGTTTTAGGTGTGGTTTGCTTCTAGTTGTGAGTATTCTGATAACATCATGATTCTCTATAGGTTTCACTTCTCCTGCTTTCTTTATAGCATTGTTGAGTGCTTTGGCCTCTGATTTCGCTTTGTCCTCGTTAACGTGAGAACCTTCATATCTGTATGCGCTCGCTAGTCCAACTAATAGCTGATTGAGGCCATAGGAAACATGTGAGAAAGACACTAAGGGTACGAAAGTAACGAAAATTGTCTGATGAGCTTCATAATAGACACATGAAAAAAAAATTATAATGATTGTCGATAACATGTGAAAGCTTGTGGTTTAAAACTGTAGGTAGTAATGTCCAAGGGTTTATTGTTACTCTGATATAAGTAATCCTCCAATTGTCGATAAATGAACAACTGTTCTGGTTGTTAATGAGCTTGAAGGTCACAAATCACAGAATACAAGTAAAAGTTGATTAGTTTGGGAGGAGCATATTTCAAAAAATTTGTCGACGCTATGAATCTAGGATTAGGCCCAAATTAATATGGTACTTATTTTCTCAAGGAACACGGGGACATGAATAACCTTAATATGACATGGCTTGTTGCCGTAAAAAGATATGCTAGTTTCTGATTTTAGAAGGGGAAGGGGAAAAAAAAGATACTCATGTTGATGATTCAGAAATTTGAGGAAAACCCATCAAATCTTTTCTCATTCTTGTTGTACCTTAGAATAGTCCAACTGAAGAGGGAAAGCAGCAAAAGATTGTATATAAGCAATTCAATTCAATCACCAAACGTCATAATAAAAGAGACAAATTAGAACTTAAATTTAAGATTAAAGCAGCAATTCAATTCAATCACCAAACGTCATAATAAAAGAGACAAATTAGAACTTAAATTTAAGATTAAAGCTATTAAGAGCAAGATTTGCGCATCAACATAATAAAAGAGACAAATTAGAACTTAAATTTAAGATTAAAGCTATTAAGAGCAAGATTTGCGCATCAATGAAGATTAGAAACTATACTTACTCTGCCATTAGATTCTTTGACATGATACGCAACATCTTCCTCCAGAGAACGGTGGAAGAGGGAATGGTACGCCTTTCTTGCCCCTAGCAGCTCCTCTGAGGAGCGGGTGCACGAAATCTCGACAAGGATGGTGAAAGGGTGGTCTTTGTGGAGCACGTGGTGAGCCCACCGTGCATCCCTTTCCCATGGATGCATAGCCCACAATAGTACCACATTCTGCGCAAAAAATGGAAGAAATTCAAGTATCAATCCACGCAATCTTTGGAGATCAATTAATGAAATTATGGTGACTTATGCTATTTGATTTCAAACCAGCTTCATATATTCGCCATTAGGCTGAACTCAGATAGAAATCCCTTTTACTGAGAGTTTTTAGCATCGTAGTCATGCGGATAATTCATAATCATTATGACTTACTCGTGTGTGATTGAACTGGATTATGATTTCAAATCCTTAATTCGAAGAGCAGGTTGAACATTGAAATGAGTTTCATTTCTCATAATTATAACCAAAATCAACAAGATTCTGAACCTATTTTTCGTAAAGAAATACCCATCATAAATTTCAAGTTTTATCAACTGAGGAACAATATAAGTATATGCATGCGCACCTTCAAAAATAGGCAGGGATTATATAGGAATAACCTACAAATACAACAATCCTAACATTTGGAATTTCTTGAAAAAAAAATACAAGTTTAAAAGAAGTCTTCAAACATCCTTTTAACCTCACTGTTATACGCAATTAACGAAAGTCAAGCAATACTTCACAATTTCAACAATTACAAAACAGACTAGGAATTCTAAAACCTAAAACAAAACAAATTAGGAATCCTAATAAACCTGTTACCAAAACATATTAAGAACCATGTTACCAAAATAGATTAGGAATCCTAATAACCTGTTACCAAAACAGATTAGGAACCTGCTATCCAACAACCCACATCACAAATTTCACCTTCACAAAACTAAGGAACCTAAACAAACATGTAAAAAAAATTAAAAAAAAAATCTCAAATCTTTATTACCTTAAACCTCGCAAATTCGGCTTTGAGGTGCTTAACGAAATCATCCTCCCACCTCTCAAAACCCCCACCCTCAGAAGTAAAGAGAGGAGCAAGAGATCCTCTCCTGAAATGGCTCCTCTTCTCCGGTTGGTTCCTCCAATTCCCAATAACAGACACCAATCCCTTCTCCTCAACTCCCAGTCCTCCCAACCCTTCAACAAATTTCAACAAAAAAAAAAAAATCAAATTTTTAGCTGAATTAACAAATGCCCAGATGAAAATGAGTACCTGAGAAAGCTTTGGTGAGCTTCTCGCACTCCTCTGAAATTAGATGAGCCATTAATATTCTCCCTCCTCTTTCTCTCTCTTACTATATTACAATTACAATTACAATTTGAGGGTGCAAATTCTACTTGGGGTTTCGGCCTTTTATAGATTGATTTCCTCCATTTTTTTTTTTTTTGTAATTTTTATAACGATACGGCGTTCAATTAGAGTGAATGCGGTTTGAATTAATTATGACTACATAATTTAAGAGGAGTAAATGGACAGCTCAGAAGTGATGAATTGATGACCTGGCTTACAAACGTTTTTCACGAGGTGGGGGTTTTAATATAAGGGATTTTAAGATATTGGTCCCTTGCGCTTTTATATTTTAAAACTAGACCCTTAAATTATTGATTTGTTAGGTTATTAACCCTTTCGTGCATAAAGCTTGCTCTTACTTTTCCTTTTTTCTCTTTTTCCTTTTATTTCTTTTTTTTTTAAATAAATAGTGAGGAATCAAGGTATTTTGTAATCTTCATCTGGTCTCCTTTTCACATGCTGGTCTCTTTAATGACTCACTACCAAATAAGATACTATTGTCTCCCACGTATTAAAGATCAACTACAAGCAACTTTGACAATATCATTTAAATTTGATTTTTTTTGTTTTTTGTTTTTAAAGAAACATAATGAATAATGAAACTGTATTCAAAAGTATACTATACCAGTTGTCATACAACTCATGGGTTAGATAGAGACCTCTCATATCTAATTCATATAGTTTTAAAGTATAGTTTGAGTAATGAAATTTTTTTAAAGAGCGATAAAGATGTCACAATGATCACAACCAAGGAGAAAATTATTGGAAAAGAAAAGAACAATATGAAATGCATGGGGTTATGATAGTGAAAAGATATGAGAAAATACTTGCCTTTCAAATGAATTTAGGCTTCTCGAATAATCTCTTTTCAAACTTTGCACTCAGCTTTCTCATCACTATTGACTTTTTCTTTTATGAGCAGAACTAAATAAAACAAAAAAAAACAAACAGAAGTTAGGAGGCTGGTTCTTTTGCACAAGCAAAGAGAAAAAAAAAAGAATTGACACAGTGCTAATATAGATATATAGTATTTAAGATAATAACAATGATACTATTCGTATCATTTGTTGAGCAAATGACAATCAACCCATATCAAATGCATCGGATTAAAAAAAAAAGGGATTGTTTGGTTGACTATATATGCTCAGAGGAGTTGTGTATTTTGCTGAATTTAACTGGAATATTTTAAGTCAATCACAAATGTTTATTTCACTGTAGCTAATAAATGCAACCGCAATTGCGATTCTTTAAATAAAAAAATAAATAAATCTTCCAGTTACAAATTGTAAAATTTTAGGATTGAACCAAGCAATTACAACAACAGTTGATACACATATTACTGTCATTATAGAAATTGTGCACGTAATTGACATTGACATTGCAATTACAAAACAAACTAAACAATCTCCTCCATTTACCAGCCAGGAGAACTTGCCGTGAAAATGAACTTGCATCACTCTTAGGGGTAAAAATGCAACAAGCAGAGTGACTTGTCTCTAGAGAGAAGAACTAAACTGAAAGCTCTCAAATTCATCAAGCATCATAATCACTCTATAGAGAAGAACTGAAGTGAAAGCTCCCATCAAATTTTGGGGACAAAGTACCATATGTTAATAATGTTATGATAATCACAATGTACACCTGGACATGAAATTGATCTCATTAATTATATAAGTTTCATTTTTACTCCTCCTCTGGCCCACAAGTTGATACACAGTACATGAATAAATCCAAATTTTTTGCCTATGGATTGTCTCCCCCTCTGATTTTCTTTTGCAATTTGAGTACAGATGGGTTTCGGTCTTGATGTCTTTGCTTGCATCTGAAGATTTATGTCATTATACCAAAACTCCAAATCCATCACTTAGTGTTGACTATTTTATATCATCATTAGTTAAGAGACCGCCCGCGACTAATCCATATTTAAGCAAATGATTACCACATGAACACTGCATTATCATCCATGTCCACAGATATCAATGTCACTGATGGCTTCAATGATTGTTTCTTTGCTAATATCATTGACTTTATTAAATGCTGTAATCAATTAATTATAGATATCAGACAACTAAGGGGTCTACATAACTAAATACCTCACGAGATTCACACACTATCTTTTTTATGTTTTGAAATCTTCTCTCCATCTTCACATCTCCATGTTTGAACTGATGATACTGAATTGAATAATTGAACTTTGATATTAAGGCCTGTCAAGTCCAATCAAATTGGTGCAAGACCAATGTGGGCATGTGAAAGAATTATTAATGGCATGACATGTAGTTGGACTGCCAATTCTTCAGAGAATATTTTCATCATGTGATTAAATTTCCATCCAATCCAAAATATCTTGGTGTACTGAAAGCTGAGTCAATCATCAATGTTATTGATTTTATAGCGGTGGTTGGAGGTAGGTTTTACCGAATCTGCATGTGTTATTAATTGGGTTCCTATCTGTTCAGACCTTGACAGGGGTTTACCCATAATATATCCCCCAAATCTGTTGTATTTTCAGATTTACCGTCAAATATTACTATCCATCACATTTTATCTAACTTTTGAGTCTTCACATCTAAGAAGAAGGTAATAGGGTGTGAAGATGGACCAAGATAAGTTGAGATCTATTGATATGAATCATATATATGATGCACTACTATTACTCAATATCAGCTATGTTATTTGTTGGACAAATTTTCAAAACAGTCTCATTTACAAAAATATTCCCAAAAAACGACCCGTTTCAAGAATATTCGTCAAAACCGACCTAATTTCAACCGTCGCGCTGAAACTAGGTCGGTTTTAACGAAAAAGAATATGAAACTTCACGGTAGCAGTCATTTAACTAAGCTGCTAAACTTCACGGGACTTGAAGTCCCGTGAAGTTTCATAGTTCAAAACAACTTCACGTGAGTTTCAGAGCTAAAACGGAAGTTTAGCAGCTTAATTAAATGGCTGCTAAACTTCACGAGACTTCAAGTCCCATGAAGTTTGGGAACTTCTTTCGTCAAAACCGACCCAGTTTTAGTCCGATGGCTGAAACTAGATCGGTTTGACAAATATTGTTAAAACAGATTGTTTTTCGGAAATATTTTTGAAAAAGGGTCGGTTTTTGAAAATTTGTCCGTTATTTGTTCTCACATATACTGTGCATGCTTATATACGCTCTATTTTAAAGCCCAAGCCATTCTATATTATCCCAAAGTGTCATATCGTGACTCATAAGTTTGATGTCGCGCGCAATAATTTGAACAATTTCGTATAAATTCTTCTCTTCTTCTATGCCAATACCAAAATGCTGATTCTCCACCTAGCAGGAATACTCTTAGGGGGGGTTAGTCACCTAGAACTTAAAATTAGAATTGGGATAATCTATGGGATAAAATTTTAAGGTGTTAGTCACATAGAACTAAACCTAGAACAAAATTTTAAGGTGTTAGTCACATAGAACTAAAACTAGAATAAAATTTTATAGTGTTAGTCAAGCAGAACTTTAACAAAACTAGAATTGGGATAATTGTACAAAATTATCCCACTTTTTTTATTTTTCTATACAAAAATGAGAGTTCTAGTCTCTCAAATTATTCCAAGTTTTAGCTTGGAACTATGTGGTAAAAAACTAGAACTCGTATTTATTTTGTTATTTTTTATTTTTTTCTTTACTTATTTCCTATTATGGTTATCACCATCATTAGACCATCATCATAATAATAATTGTCAATATCTTATAGTCTAACCAAAAGTTATTTAATAGTAACTAACATTCTTGTAAGCAATTATCAATTAATAATAGTAAGTTTAAAATACATAAATAGTATTTATATCTTAAAAATGCATAAATATATACTTCATGATTATAAAAATTTATCCCACGTTATTTTATCAAAATATCCTGCTTCACAAAATTGTTCCTAGTTATCCCACTAAAATATCCCACTAGCAAAATATTATTCCACTTTAACAATTATCCCATTTTACATGAAAATGTCCCAATTGACTAACACCCCCTTACAGACTTGTGTAGTATATAATCAAGGGCGTCTTCGCACAATTCGACGAGAATATCTTCGACCCTTTGGCTCTTTCAATTTCTTTTTGTTATTAATTTTACTAGGCATAACTTTCAACAACTAATACCAATAGTTTTAGTCATGCGCCACAACTAAGTTATTTTCGTTCCTCTTTTTATCTTTACTAGTGTGAACACCGTGCAAAGCACGGCATACAGTACATCATTTTTCCCGCTACAGTACTCTCGGTTTTAAATACTATAGTAATATTTTTTGATTACTACAGTATCCCGTCTCTGCTACAAATTTTTCGAAAAATGCTACAGTATTCCCGCGTGTTTTCTGCTTGCTACAGTGCTAATGCTACAACAATATTACTGTAGCATTACTGTAGCATGAATAGTAAATCTTAGGCTCGGCCATTTGTACAGAGGAATAGATCTGTGCAATCAACATTCAACCGTTCATAAAAATAGCTTCTCCACCTCTCTTTAATTTCCGCGTCCGGGTGATAAAATTCCAAATAAATAACCTCTTCTCCTTCAACGGTCATATTATTGCGTCAAACCCATTTCCACAAGAACAAAGCTTGATATTTTAAGAGGGAATGAATGAATTTAAAACGGTAACCTACTGATGTAGGACGCTTAATCTGAGTTGGAGTCTATTTAGATTAGGAAATATAGATTATGAAATAAATTTAATTTTAGAGTCAATTAGATTAGGAAACAAAATCAATTTTGATTCATGATTTGTTTCCTCTATTATAAGTAGTCTTTTTAGAATAGAATTTGACACTTTCTTTTTTTGTAATGCTAGTCTTACTAGGAGTCTTATTTGATACTTTCTATTTTTGTAATTCTAGTCTTACTAGGAGTCTTATTTGTTTTTCTATTTAAGAAGAGTCATGTAACCCCAAAGAAGAATAAAATTTCTCTTTTTTAATATTTTTTTCGTGGATTCGAAGATCGTTCTTTGTGGATTCAGATAACACCATTGGTGGATTCTTAGGCTACAACTTCCGCGCTGCGTCAATTGGTATCAGAGCCTTATTCCTCCGATCCAATGGCAGTTGATGAAGCCCCTATTCCTCGAACTGAGTTCGACGTGCTAAGGTCTGATGTAGATCAGCTGAAGACCAATGGTGATCAGATAAGGGCCGCCATAGAGCGACTTATGATGGCGGTAGAGCGTCTGAACACGGCATGAGTTCAAAATCGTGTTGATGATTGCCAACGACGTGATCCGACTCCATATGATAAATTTAACAGGGACAATGATCTTAAGCAAGACATTAGAGTTGGGAAGAACAGTGAAGAAGTAATAAAGAAAGAAGAACAGGGACAATGATCTTAAGCAAGACATTAGAGTTGGGAAGAACAGTGAAGAAGTAATAAAGAAAGAAGAACCACCTCCAGAAAGCAAGACATTAGAGTTGGGAAGAACAGTGAAGAAGTAATAAAGAAAGAAGAACCACCTCCAGAGCACAGTATCTTTCGTACGAGATGTACCGTGATGTAGAAGATTTGTAATGTTATTATTGACAGTCATAGTGGAAGGAATCTTGTCTCTCGGCGTATGGTGAATAAGTTAGGTTTAAAGACAGAGAAACACACACCTCTCGTTAAGATCGACTGGATTCACAAGGGCAATGATGTGCAGAACGATGAAGTGTGTCGAGTATCTTTTTCTATCGGTCGAACTTATGTTGATGAGGTTTTGTGTGATGTTGTCGAGATGGATACTTGTCATATGCTATTAGGTAAGCCATGACAATTCAATAATGGAGCTACCCATAGGAGCAGAGACAATGTTTATATCTTCAAGAAAGATGGACGACGAATTGTGCTCAAACCTCTTATAGAAAAGGAGACATCTAAGATAAAGACTATTGGGAAGAAGGAACTCTTGGTGACAAACAACGATGCTTTAACAGAAAACTTGAAGCAATTTGAAGAGGTCTGTGACTTGGTTGTAACTGAAAAAGAAGAACATGCCTCTACCGAAATTCCTCCTAAGGTGCAGACACTCGATATGCATGAAATGCATGATGGTGATATGATAGTGAAGATGGATGATATGCATGATATTCTTAAAGTGGTTGAGAGTGATATTCAACATATTGATGTTGTCCCGATAGAGGAGAATGATAAAATAGAGAGTGAGACAATTGATGGTACGTGTGCATTGCTTGGTGGAGAGCTTGAGATAAAGGAGATGAAAGAATTGTGTATGGAGTATGAGGAAGAAAATTATTTTTTTAAGCAATAATCATCAATAATTTTAACAATGGTGAGATGATACCGTCTAGAATATGGGAAGCAATAAGAAAAATATTTGGAGGGGTTTTTCATGTCAACTACAGAGCCACATGCTATTAGTTACATACACTTGTCATGAAAAAGATTCATACACAAGTTTGATACAAAAGAAGTCCTAGCAGAGGAGGTAAAAGAACAAATGAAGAAAATCAATACTAAGTACAAGGCAGACGCAGATCATTGCAAGAGAAGAAAATTATTTATCAATGAAGCTACTATTCTAACAAATATAAGCTCGAGGTCGAGCTTCATTCAACAAGGGAAGACTGATGTAGGACGCTTAATCTGAGATGGAGTCTATTTAGATTAGGAAATATATATTAGGAAATAAATTTAATTTTAGAGTCAAATTAGATTAGGAAACAAAATCAATTTTGATTCATGATTTGTTTCCTCTATTATAAGGAGTCTTTTTAGGATAGAATTTGACACTTTCTTTTTTTGTAATTCTAATCTTACTATGAGTCTTATTTGATACTTTCTATTTTTGTAATTTTAGTCTTACTAGGAGTCTTATTTGTTTTTCTATTTAAGAAGAGTCATGTAACCCCAAAGGAGAATAACTTTTCATCAATAAAATTTCTCTTTTTCAATATTTTCTTCATGGATTCGAAGTTCTTCGTGGATTCGAAGATCGTTCTTTGTGGATTCAGAGAACACCCTTGATGGATTCCGATGCTACAACTTCCGCGCTGCGTCACCTACCAAGCTGGTGTAGTGACTAAAGCCAAAACACAGAGAGACCAATTCGAAGTGAATTATATATCGGACAAAATTGGAGTTTTAACGATTGTGGACTAATTTTAAAATACGAAACCTGTCCAGGGTCCAATGACTAAAACCCCAACAATAAAAACTGAAGGGAGGTTACATAAAGGGACACGTGTTTGAGAGCGGAAACAGAAGTTTTGATGCGAAAAACAAAAGCACCATGTTTATCTCCCTACCACTTAAATAAATTAAACTTTCCTCCAATATTTTTGTGAGGGAATAAAGAGGTCACATTTAATTTATTATAATAGTGAATAACTCGTCTCATATTTTTATGATAGAGCAGCATCACCATTCCAAAAAACCTGCCATTCCCTGAGGAAGACTGCAAGAAACTAAAGAAAGCTTTTGATGGTAAATTTAATGTTCAGTCAACAACCCATTTTTATTTTTCCTCATTTTAATCAATGGGTCGTTCTTAAATTTTCCATTTTTTTTTTTTGGGTCCAATTTTTGGTTGTTGTAAGGTTGGGGAACTGATGAGGATGCTGTAATAGAGATATTAGCTCATAGAAATGCAAGGCAAAGGATTAAGATTGCTGATGCTTACAACCGTTTCTACAATGAATCTCTCATTGATCGTCTCCATTCTGAGCTCTCCAGCCATTTTAGGGTATTCTTCTTACCTATTACTTAACTTTATTTCAATATTATTTTGTTTTGGGTTGATAGGGAGTTGTGTTCATGTCTAATTGATTTGATTTATGGGCTTTTTTATTTTTATTTTTTGAAAATTCTGTACTAAAGAAACCCATATGATGTGACATCAAGAGAAATTGTTATTTTGCATTTTGTGGTGGAATAAATGAAAATAGATGCACATAATTCGACTCCATAGAAACCCATGATATATTCCACTCAAGAGAGATTGTTTTGCGGAGTTGGGGGAGATTTTGATTGTTTTGTACTTTGTGATGGATTAAATGAAACTACCTGCACTTAATTTTGATTCGATAGAAACCCATAATATGTTTACGCATTCAGTAATTTAATTTATGATTATTCTTTTGCGTTGATGAGGAGTGATGTGCGTGTCTAATTAATTTGATTTTTGGGTTAATTTACATATGAAGATTACTGATTGTTGAAAAAATCTGTTCTGAAGAAATCCATGATTTCATTTAAGAGAAATCGGGATTAGTTTATGTTGGGAAAAACAAGCATAAAAATAGATCCAAAAAAGTGCAGAACAAACCATACAGGAAAGAAGGAAAAAAACAGAAAGTTAGTAACATCATATTAGATACATTTCAAGTTTGAAATAATTTACAAAAGTGCCAAATCGCCTCTTAACAGAGGACTGGCCTTGAAAAAGTTATGACCCACCTACGGTAGCATTGGGTCTGAATAGTACTTCCGAGGATGAGACGACTGCAGTCCAAATAAACGCTCTCTTCTTGTGAACCCTATGACTACTTCTTCAGTTCGCCAGAACCTCTAGTACTCAACAACTTATAGAATTATAAAGGAAGAAGAAGATAGGAGATTTTATTTTTCTGTGTGTTAAATGATCAAAAGATGTCTGCGATAAAACTTATTCAATCCTTGTAACGTTTATAACGTACGAAACGTTCGGCTGGTTTTAAGTGAGCACATTCAAAATGTTTAAGCTCGTTTTAAAGATAGCGCGTGCAAAAAGACCCTGCAACCGGCCCGTGCGCATGAGCTCGCTCGCTTATATACCAACCAAATTGTATAATACTAACACATTTGTTATACTATAAATAACACGTGTGTTAATATGAATCAACTAAAATGCATTCAATTAGCCTATGTGGGACTAAAACTCACATAGTACTTATTAAACACATTTTAATTTTCATCTATGGAATCCAATCATTAAATGTAAAAACCCTCTAACATTCATTTATTTCAACAGTTTAAACTTTGTGGTGAACTAAATGGATATAACATCACTTACTCGAAATATAACCAAGGTCTATCTTTTTTATCAGAGGTTGAATCGATCATCAGAAGAAGAATTAGGCCAATTAACCAACCGAAGTTGGCCTCCGTCATTATGTATTGAACAGATGAAAAGCCTCCGTAACGGTTGGACGATAGTAAAAAGTTAGAGAAATATCAAACACATGATTCTATTCAAGAGAAATGGTCGTATAAGAGCTACAGAAATTTTGATTGTTTTCCACTTCGTGGTGAGAACTAAATGAAAATCGTTACACCTAGTTTTGTTTTTTTTAATACTTATCTTTTCTTTTGTTTTCCCGTCATTTTCACTGTACCGCTAGATCAAACTAAGTGAATAATATTTGTTTTTAATAGAGAGGCATAATTGGGTGTAAATTTTAGTTGTATATTTTGAAAATATGGCTTTTCTTTGTTTCCTCTCACTCCTAAAATGGCTTAGCAAGACACAATGGCGCCCAAGATGTCTATGAAATTCAATGAGTCAGGATACACTTTCATCTAGATTCTGTGCTTCAAAGAGATTTGAAATCCTGCAGTCTTATGCTAATAAGAAGAGCTTGACACGCATCCTCTTCCATTACTTACCAGAGGGAGGGAGAGATACTGGAAGCTAACACAATCCAAATATATTTTCACAGAAAACCCCCCATTTTGTTGAAGTTGATCTGCATCACATGGTGTCCAAAAACGAAAAATCAAGCGAAATTGGTTTTACTTACGCATGCATCTCGTACAAAATGAACAGGTGAAGATAGCATGTCAGTAGATACATGATTTGGGGCATAATTTTTTTTAATCCACCTTTTATCATGATGTAAAACAATCAACAACTGTTAGATGTCAATTTGTTTTAGGCTTATCACCTTGTCCACCTATCCAATCCTGACTTCGAGCTATTAGTATAAGCTCTTTTTATTTGACACAGAAAGCGAGGCTCTGAAAGCTTCCAAAAAGAAGGGTGATAAACATCTATGGCCGATCATAGAAGTCACATGCGCTTCATCTCCGGACCATCTGATAGCGGTGAGAAAGGCTTACTGTACTCTGTTCAACTACTCTCTCGAAGAGGATATTGACCTTCACTTACCCCAGAACCATTCAGTGAGACAGGTACATTTCATCAAGGGTAAATTTCACTATCGGATCAGGAACTCACATACGATATTAACATGAACGGAGAAAAAATACCAGAAATGTGACCTCGTTGTTTTTTTCAGTCCTGCTCTCCTACGTGAATGCTCTCCGTTCATATTTTTCATCACGAACTTTGATTTGTCATAATTCAAACATACTACTTTACCCATTAGCAAAAGCCCCCAAAGTTCAGGAGGGTCTTATGAAACTTCGATTTCTTTAGTTATATGCTTGTGCCTATAATAATATCAATTGATTAATCTCTTCTCTAACTAGTTTGTTTTTTGTAGCTATTGGTTCGTCTTGTGAGCTCCTACAGATACGATGGGGAGGATTTGGATGAAGCATTGGCAAGATCTGAGGCGTCGAACCTCCATGATGCGATAATAAGCAAGCAGCTTCATAGTGAAGAAGTCATTCGTATAATTGGTACAAGAAGCAAACCTCACCTCAAAGCTACTTTCAAGCATTACAAGCAAGACTATGGGAAAACCATAGATGAGGTACTAATAATAATTTCAATGAAACTAGAATCTTGTTGTTAGCCAAACAATGTTAAATGTATGAACTTTTGGGATACAACATTCAACAAGCATCCATTTATAAGTATAGATTCCTCTACTAATATGTAGAATAATTTTCTTGAAGCCCCTTCCATTGCCCTAAAACTTCTGAGTTGTGGTGGCGAGGGTGTTACTCTTAACATACCCTGCAGGTTGAATGTCCTTTTCATGGATAGGACATTGAGCTTTTTTACACAACAACGTTTTTATTTCCATAATGATCTCGGCAGGATTTGAACTTTGGTTGCTCTGGTACCATATTAAAGTGCTTTCCACTTCATCAAAATTTCAAAACTGTGGTGAGAATTGAGAATTATATTTTTATTCTCCTTAACATTTTTCTTTTTTCCAAATTTCACTTGCTTATTATTCTCTGGGGGAACTGTATTGGTCTCGAGAACAAATTCAATCTCTCTTCAACTTATATTTCCTATGCTGCAAACTGTGGTCATTATTCGTTTAACAATGTAAAGTTTCAAATTAACAGGATATTGAGGGGAACAAAAAAAGCGATGAACTATATGCATCGTTGCTAAAAGTTGCAGTTCGTTGCTTGGACTGCCCTGAGTTACATTTTGCAGAGGTAATCTACACTCCATCAAAGTTTTAGTTCAAAGATAAAAGGGTTAACTGCGGGTAGACATCCTTTACTATTGCATAATTCTGTATAAATCCCCTGTACTTCTATTTTCGTAGATGGCCAGCTGGATTCTCAACTCTGCTAGTCTTTTTCTCATTTAAATTAGCGATATGTAATGATCATTATGCAAGTTTTGTTGTAAGTAAATCAGTCTATGAAGCTCAATCTTAGCGCGAAAGTAATGCAGTTGAGAGTCCAGAGGGTCTATCGGCAACAATAGAAGCGCAGGGGGTCTATCCGCAATTTGGCTATAGTATAGAGGGCCTAATCGCAATTAACGAGAGATAAAATGCTATATCCTCTTTAACTTCCTAATGAAACTTTGGTTATATGATCAGGTGGTGAGAACTTCGATAGTGGGTCTGGGAACGGATGAAGACTCACTGACAAGAGCTATTGTGACCCGGGCTGAAATTGATCTGAAGAACATCAAAGAAGTGTATACCAAATACGGAACAAGCATTAACGATGATATTAAGGGCGATACATCTGGTGATTATAAGAAATTTTTGCTTGCTTTGGTGGGGTGGGACATCACGATATAGAGTTGCATAGTAGGCATATTTATGATCCCCTTTGTGTGAAAATAAATAAGGAGTGTGATGGGATTGAAGTTGTGCCTACATACATTGCCGGTATCGGTAAATTTGTGATTTTTTCTTTTTGTGATTTCTCTCTGCTTTTCTACCAACTTTACCCCATCTGAAGAAGGAAATTGTGGATCCTAAAACCCTGTACTTCCTCTTATGAATCTTGGATGCTTCTCAAGATACATAAAAGGGTGTTTTTAAGCCTATGCGTTTTGAAGAAAGAAGGGGTGAGGCTAACCTTTATTGACTCCTCCTAGGTATCAATACTAAACCAAAGATGTTCTTTTATCTAGTGAAAATTTAATACAAAAAATGAAAGATGCTCTTTTATCCAGTGAAAATTTATGGACGGGCCTCAATGTGGCCTTTGAATTAATAATGGTCCGTCCATTGGACAAAAAATGGCAGCTCAGTCAATGGACCAAAAATGGTGACTCAGCGCACTTGAGAAACACGCTCTTCACTATGTGTGATAAACAAGGATTTTACCAACAATATACATAAGTCAGTTGGAAGAATACACAAAAACTCATTTCAAATGTGAAAAAAATAACCAAAAGATAAGAGCATGTACAGCCACATTTTACACCCAACAAGAAAACACATGACAAGTTAAATCATCATACAACTATGAGAACATATATGGCATGGGGAAGAAGGCATTATATCAAGAGGAAAGAGTTACAAACAAGGTCTTGATTTGTTATTTCACTTCTTTCGACCAGCAGCAGCAGCAGCAGCAGCAGCTACTCCACCCACCAACAGTCCAACAGCGGTAGCAGCTATGCCAATGCCAATCACACCATCTGCATTGAAAGAAAAGTGATGTTATTCGTATGTAGCAGAGAAAAGGAAGACCCCAAAAAATAAAAATAAAAATAAACACCATAGCGGGCCCTCTAAAGAAAAAATCATACAGAAAGGAGAGTAGGGCATACGCGCAGCACACATTTTAAAGTTGACGGTCGCACCGGTATAGTATTTTACTATTTTATAGCCTTGATGTTTGTATATCGGTGCAATAATTTAAATTACTAGTAGGACGTATCACGTATGTCATTTTCTCCTTCCTGTGTGAGTTTATTTGCAATTGAAACCAAGAGGTATTTATCTCACCTTTTGCAATTTTATCTTCCACCACTTTCTTCAGAGACAAGGCCTGCCTCCAATCAGGTGCAATCTACCAAAAAAAAAAATGGTTGATTGGAGGGTAAATAAATTTCAAGATCAAGCGGACAAAAGAAAGTACTGTAAGATGTCATATACCAGCTAATGGTTGAGAAACTCATCTGTACCCGTCAAAACTTGTTAAAGATTAGAACCAAATTGGAGAGATGAAGATATGATTATGAAGACGCATAATATGACTGAATCAGATACGACTTAGAATTATGTGTAACAAAGGAACAAAAAACTATCTAAAATAAAGTAGTATCCCTTGGACCAGAGTTTACTAATGTGCCTGACTCCCAAAAACATAGCTCACATCACTCTGTAACCAAAATCAGCAGCAGATTTAATAATTTGAGGGAAACTATTTCAGTCATATAGCCAAGTACATGTAATCATATCTCACTTTGTTATCTACATTCGACCCTTACGATAGAAAGGATACCAATATCCATATGAGAAGAATATGAATACTTAATATGCTTATACGGAGCAGATAAATCCATGGATATCCACATCAATTTGCACCTCTATGATTTTCATTGAAACCCATTAAACATTTCATCTGCTGGAAATTTACCTCCCTTTTTACAATGCTTTCAAAGATAACATGGCCCACAATAATAGGCCTTAAATTTCAGATTTAAGCAAGTCCTAGTTGTTGGAAAATCAGGACCGCAGCTAATATTAGTGCGGAAATAATAAATTGGACATAGATTTTTACGTGGAAAATACCCCAAATAAATTTGGGGTAAAGACCACAGACAATAGTAAAAAAATCTACTATGAAAAAAAAATTTAGAGTTACAATCTCTCTCTTATACAAGAAGAAATTTTATCTATTTTTCTCTCACTTTTCTATATGAAGTTTGGAGATTGGATTGATTAAGCAGAGAATGAACTCTACTCCTTTTATAGGCAAACTCTGTTCCATGTCCTCAAAGAATGTGGCTCCAATTTTCTTCGTTTCGGTACATAATTCTAACAAGAACAAAGAATGCGGCTACCTAAAATACAATTGTTTTGGTCAACAATTGCGGCTCTTGGCTCTCTCTCCAAAAAATGGTACTGCAGTTGTTTTGATCAACAATTGCGGCTCTTGACTCTTTCCTACAATCTCCAACTTGAAAATTTGATTGAGAACCAATAATATATTCACACTATTCTTTCTATCTTGTATAGGAGAGAGATTGTAACTCCAAAAATTTTCCTCATAATGGATTCTTATACTCTTGCCCGTGGTTTTTACCCGAAAATTATTTAGGGGAGTTTTCACGTAAAAAAATGTGTCCAATTTATTATTTTCACACTGATATCAGCTACGGCCCTGTCCTATCTTGTCCCGATTTTCCAACAAGTAGTATCAGAGCCTGGCTTAGGGTGCGTGTATCTCTTATCATATGTTTTGTGGTTGCCACCAAAGGTGAATTCTCGGCATTAGAAAATAAATTAGATTATCATTTACCCTTTGAAGGCATTGTGCACTATTTAGAAGCACGTTTACTATTCACAAGTGTGGTTATTGTTCACAAATACAGTTACTATTTACGTAAAATAGTAGAAGTTACAATTCGTGATAGAAGGAATGGCGACGACGTTCGAGATTGAAAAAATCAACGAGAGTAATTTCTCACCGTGAAAATTGAAAATAAAGGCTATCTTGAGACAAGATAATTGTCACAGATGACAAGTAGAAACGAGATGGACAAAAATGTTATTATAAATCTTCATTTGGCATTAGCAGATAGGGTGTTGTCAAGCATAGATCATAAGAAAATAACAAAGAAGATCTGGAATACTCTAACAAAGTTACATGATGTCAAATCCTTGCATACCAAAATTTTCTTAAAAGAAAATTTTACACTTTAGGATGACGGAATCTACATCGATGACCGACCACATCAGCACCCTAAATACACTATTTTCTTAACTTACAACGTTGACGCATACAATCAATGTGAATGAGTGTGCAGAATTTCTACTTTAAAGTCTACCTAATTCATATGATCAGCTCAACATCAATGTAACAAATAACATCCTTATGGGCTATCTAGTCTTCGACGATATTGCAACTGCCGTTCTGGAGGAAGAAAACCGGTCTAAGAACAAGAAAGACAGGCAATCAAGTTCGTAGCAAATGAAGGTTTTATTGGTGACGAGAGAAAGATCAACGGAACATGGCTTCAATGGGAGTCATACCCATGGTAGATCAAAATCAAGAAGAAGAATATCAAATGCTACAATTGTGATAAAAGGGGACACGTGAAATCGAAGTGTTGGCATAATAATAAGATTTGTGATAAAAAGTCTTCAGAGCCATCAACATTTCAAAGATGCGTTGTAAGCACATCAAACGATAGTGAAATTTTATACAATGGAGCATCAACTGTTAAAAAAGACAAAAAGATATTTGCCAATATTTGACTTCTAGATTTAGCAACCGCTTGACACATGACCTCCCGGAGAGAATGATTCCACGAATATAAACCTATCTCAGGAGGATCAGTATTTATGGGCAATGATTCATGCCTTGAAAATTTTTGATATTAGTACTATCAAAATCAAAATGTTTGATCGTACGATACGCAGCATTCAAAATGTGAGATATGTGAAAGGCTTATAGAAGAATCTATTGTCTTTAGGACAATTGGATGAGCTCGGATGCAAGACCTATATAGAAAATAGGATAATAAAAATTGTTAGAAGAGCACTTGTTGTAATAAAGGGGGAAAATAGATACAAATCTAACATGTTTAAGGGAGAAACCTGCAGGAATCTGATTTATGTGTGACATTAACCAGCCATGAAGAAGAATAAACCATGATGCGGCACCGTAAACTAGGTCACATGTCAGAACGAAGCTTGAATATTCTCTCTAACCAATAGTTGCTTCCTAGGCTCAAATCGGTAGCTCTTCCCTTATGTGAGGATTGTGTTACAAGTAAGTAATATCGGTTGAAATTTAACACATTGAGTTCTAGAAATAAGGCCAATGTTACATTAAACACTGGGCGCTTCTAGGCGTCGGACTTGTCGCCCAACGCTTAGTCGCCTAGGCGGACGCCTAAGCGGTTTCTGGGCGTTTTTTTCTTTCTTCATTTAAGTGGTGATCGATGAGGTTTTGCTGAAGATTCAAAATGTGAGATATGTGAAAGGCTTATAGAAGAATCTATTGTCTTTAGGACAATTGGATGAGCTCGGATGCAAGACCTATATAGAAAATAGGATAATAAAAATTGTTAGAAGAGCACTTGTTGTAATAAAGGGGGAAAATAGATACAAATCTAACATGTTTAAGGGAGAAACCTGCAGGAATCTGATTTATGTGTGACATTAACCAGCCATGAAGAAGAATAAACCATGATGCGGCACCGTAAACTAGGTCACATGTCAGAACGAAGCTTGAATATTCTCTCTAACCAATAGTTGCTTCCTAGGCTCAAATCGGTAGCTCTTCCCTTATGTGAGGATTGTGTTACAAGTAAGTAATATCGGTTGAAATTTAACACATTGAGTTCTAGAAATAAGGCCAATGTTACATTAAACACTGGGCGCTTCTAGGCGTCGGACTTGTCGCCCAACGCTTAGTCGCCTAGGCGGACGCCTAAGCGGTTTCTGGGCGTTTTTTTCTTTCTTCATTTAAGTGGTGATCGATGAGGTTTTGCTGAAGGTCAGAGGAGGTAGTGGAGGTGTTCATATTTGAAGGTTAATGAAGTTTAGAGGATGTGTACGCTACGACACCTAAATTCACAATCAATGCCTACAGGGTGCAATCCACGTAAGCAGATAATGCTCCCCTAAACGCTCGTAAAATCTAGATGGGCAACCTAAATACCGTCTGGACGCTAGACGCTAGTTAGACGGCCTAGGTACCGCCTAGGCGTACGCCTAAGCGGACTAGACGGAGGTTTTTTAAAACAATGAATAAAGTTATTCTACAACTAGTTTATTCTGTTGTATGGCAAGTACCAGTTATATCCATGGGAGTAGCAAAGTATCATGTATCATTTATTGATGATTACTCCAGAAGATGTTAAATGTACCCTATCAAAAGGGCAGATGTGTTTCTAGTCTTTTAAGCTTGCAAAGCACGAGTCGAGCTTGAATATGAAAAGAAAATCAAATGCTTGAGCACATATAATGGAGGGGAATACAAAAACGGTGAATTTCTTATTACAAGCAAGAAGGCATCAAAAAACAATTCACACTACATATACTTCTTAATAAAATGGAGTGACAGAGCAGATGAACATAATTCTGTTGGAAAAAACAAGAGCAATGTGGGCAACTGCAAATCTAGATAAAAATTTTTGGGCAGCAGTAAAACCACATAAAACTACATGCTATGTGGTGAATCGAGCTCCATCAACTGCAATTGAGCTAAAGACACCGATGGAGATATGGGCTGGCAAGCCAGCTAATTATTCAAACTTCCATATATTTAGAAGTCCAGTGTTTGTAATGTACAATATCCAAGAAATTAGAAAGTTAGATTCAAAATTCAAGAAATACATATTCTTAGGGTATGCTGACGGAATAAAGGGGTATTATTTGTGGGATCCCACAACCCGCAAGGTTATTGTTAGCAGCGAAGTTATCTTTATAAAGAACCAACTATAAAGAGAAGACAAAGAAAGTAGATCAAGAAAGGACTTAGTGATTGTAGCTGTCCAGTTAGAAATAATCCAAATTTTTCTGAAGCAACATCGAAGCATGATGTACAATAACCAGTCGAGTCCGAGGCTCTAGTAGTTCAAAGGTCAACTCATGAGAAAAGATGACCAACTTGGCACTTAGAGTATGTTATAGAGAGTAATATTACATACTATCTTCTAACAGAGGATGGAGAGCCATCAACTTTCCATGAAGCTATAAATAGTACAGATGCATCTTTATAGATAACAACAATGCAAAAAAAAAATTGAAGTTCTTCATAAAAATAAGACTTGGATACTTGTGTCACTCTCATATAAGGAAAAAAGACTATTAAAAATAAATAGGTTAATAAAAGCAAGTGAAATGGCAACGATCAAGTGGAACGATATCGTGCTAGACTAAGTAAAATGATATGCTCAGAAAGAAGATATTGACTTTCATGAAATATTTTCTCCTATAGTTTGACTTACAATAGTCCGAGTAGTCCTGGCTATGAATGCTATATTTGACTTATATCGAAAACACTTAGATGTGAAAACAGTCTTTCTTCATGGAGATCTTCAAGAAGAAATTTATTTACTCCAACCAAAAGGCTTTGAAGAAAAAGGTAAATGAGAACTTAGTTTGCATGTTAAACAAATTTTTGTACGGTCTAAAACAGGCGCTAGGTGTTAGTACAAGATATTTGATTCATTCATCATGAGCCTAGGATACAACAGACTTAATTCACCCTTATGCATATTTCAAAAGATTTAGTGAAAATAACTTTGTTATCTTATTATTGTATGTTAACGACATGTTGGTTACAAGCTTCAATATGCAAGATTGTAAGTCAATTTCTATCCTATTTACTGTTAATTTCAAATTATCCTCCAATATTAGTCCTAGCAATGAAGAAGAGAAGATAGATATATCTCAAGTACCGTACACATCAGCATTGAGAAGTTTAATGTTCGCTATAATTTGTACACGACCAGACATTACACAAACAGTGGGAGTAGTTAGTCGATACATAACGAATCCTGATAAAAAGCATTAGAATGCTGTAAAGATCATCTAAAATACATTAAGGGAATAGCAGATGTTGCATTATGTTATAGGGGATCAGACTTTATTGTTAGTGAAAATGTTGATTCTAATTATGCATGTGATCTTGATAAAAGTAAATCCACCACATGTTATGTGTTTGTACTTGCTAACGAAGCTGTAAGTTAGGTTTCAAAACTACAGTCAGTTGTGGCTACATCAATAGAAGTAGAATATGTAGAAGCTTCGTAAGCTAGTAAAGAGACAGTATGGTTGAAAATAGTATTGGAGGAACTCATACATGAACAAAAGAAGATTTTTCTATTCTGTAACAGTCAGAATGCTTTGCATTTAACAAGAAATCCAGCTTTTTATTGAAAGACAAAACACATTCGAATTCAGTACCGCTTCATTCGTGAGAAAGTAGAAGAAATAGTGGATATACAGAAAATTCACACCAAAGATAATCTAGTAGATTTTTTGACAAAGGTAATTAATACTGATAAATTTGTTTGGTGTCGATCCTATTATGGTCTGACGCAAACGTGAGCAATATAAAAATAACAAGATAGAAAGAATGATGTGAAGATATGATTGATTCTCAATCAAACCTTCAAGTGGGAGATTATAGAAAAGAGCCAAGAGCCACAATTGTTGATCAAAATAATTGTGGTACCAATTGTTGGAGAGAAAACCAAGAGCCGCAATTATTGACCAAAATAGTTGCGTTTTAGGAAGCCGCATTCTTTGATCTTGTTAGAATTAGGCACCGAAATAAAGAAAATTAGAGCCGCATTCTTTAAAGACATGAAGCAGAGTTTACCTATAAAAGGAGCAGAGTTCATTCTGTGCTCAATCAATCCAATCTCCAAACTTCATATAGAAAAGTGAGAAAAATTGAGAGAGTTTTTCTCCTTGTATAAGAGAGAGATTGCAACTCTAAAAAATTTTCTCATAGTGAATTCTTCTACTATTGCTTGTGGTTTTTACCCCAAATTTATTTAGGGGGTTTTCCACATAAAAATCTGTGTGACCAATTTATTATTTCCGAACTAATATTAGCTGCGGCACTGCTCCATCTGGTCCCCATTTTTCAACGCTAGTTACCATGCAACTTTCATTGGGTATTCCTGTTGAACTCCAAAACCAATAAATGAGACCTCTGACCTTATCAAACACATTTTGGATCATACCAATGTCAATATGCTGGTCAAATATGAACATAATAAGGTTATATTATGTAACCTACTTCCAGTGCTTTGATATCAGCCCAAGAGATCATCAAGATCAATAAGTCCTGATCAATTCTACAAAGAGCAATCTAATTAAGCGAACAATCAAGAAAATCTATGACAAGTTTCTATTTAAAAAAAAGTAACAAAAAATAAATATCATGCTCAGATAATGATATAATTCAAATCAATCTATAATATTAAACATACTTAATAAACAGTACTTAATAACCAAAAAAACATTACTTAAATGTAAGATTCACCAGATTTTTTTTGAAAAATTAACTAGGAAATTGCAAGGTCATAAAAAGGGTGAACTTTACAGATGCCCTTCTATAAACACTGTAGGAGTCATTTCCGGCAACAGATAATAGGTTCTGCTCATAATGGTTCTTAGAATTGAATTTCTCGTTCCAAGTAAACTCCGTCAAAATATTTCCACTTTAGTCCTTCAAATGCTTGTCTTGAACCAGCAAAGGCTTAAGATTTCAGTTTATTTTTACCACACAATATGACTAAGTACATGTTCAAGGTCAAACCAGAACACGTGTAACTCAGTAGGGTTAGGGTTCATTGTCTCTTCTCCCCCTATAAATACACAGGCAAGGGTTCATGAATCATGAGAGGCATCTATTTTTTAATCTAGTAATTCCCAAACCTAGTGGGCACTTCTATCATCCTTGTGCATAGTTTGTGGGGTGATAAGTGGAGATTGCTTGCTGTCTACAGTGTGTTTATCCTCCAGTCCTTGCTTAAGACAATCTATGTGGCAATGTTAGCAAGTAATAATCTGCCATTGAGGTACAACTTAATCTGCAAATTTACTCTTCATAGACAGAATGCTAGCATTATTATTCACCCATTATGCATGATCTATATGTACATGAGTAGATATCTATATTTATTAGTTCTGGATTAACAAGTACAATGAGAACCGCGACAAGAAATTGTCTAAAGAGTTAAGACAGGAAAAACACAAAAGGAAGAAAAAACTAACTCCTTGAAGTCTGGAAACAGAAAATAAAATTTTAGTTCTCTACTTGGCACAGGCTAATTGTGGGCACCTCAACCTTTTTAACTACCATCATTGAATAGCTTCCTAAGAGCTAAAAATAGAAGAAAAAACTAGGAGCAAAGTGGAGAGAAAATATGTGATCAGTCAATTTAAATTAAATAAAACTAGGAAAAAAACTAGGAGCAAAGTGGAGAGAAAATATGTGATCAATGTAAATACAAAAAAAGACTAGGAGCAAATTACAAAAATCTATCGACTTCAAGTATTTTTCTGCATCAGTCAATGTATTCTGTATTTTCTGCACCTCATTCTTTTTTTTTTTTTTTGGTAACGAGGGAACCTCGGTCAGTCCAGCTCAACACTCAGCCCCTTCGGGGCCGACACCCCTGGATCAATCCACGCACCCCCCATGCTGATCGAGGGAAGCATCCCGAGTGCGTGTGCCGATCCGGACTGCGGCTCAGCTGAACCGACCGAGTAAAACCCCGGTCTCCACCCCACCCTTAGAGCGTGGACAACAGGTGAAGCGCTAACGGGAATCGAACTCGGGACTAGCATGGGCACGAAACCCTAGGAGCCGAGTCGCTCCTCATGGGGCTGCTAGCCACGAGGCCACCCGCGGGTGGTATGCACCTCATTCTTTGATACCATGACATGCACGTGATCCAAGTAACCACCTAAAAGTTTGTGAGCCTGTGAGTCTGTGACCCAAATTAACTGCTAATAAAGCAGTAAGATCATACCTCCAAACATCTTCCCACAAGCTGCCTACTCCTTGAATAGTCCCCACTTCTATAGTGTCCAACGGCCAAAAGATAAAGTTTCTCTCTTATTTGCAGGGGGCTATTGGAATTCGCCAATGAGGCTGTCACAACAGAAATTCACTCAAATTAGGAGTCCATAGCATTGCAACAGTCGCTCACAATGACTAACATAGCACTCAAGATAAATTGCATCATTTACAAAGAAATTGTTAAAACAACAGCTAACCAAAAAGATGAAAAACTGCAGAAAAAACATGTTAAACCTTCAAGCATGGCTATTCCCCGGTTCACGTCTTCTGGCTGTCTGGAATGAACAAGAGCCCATGATAACCTCATGAGACTATCATTCTTGTTCTCCGTGCTCCCGCCCTCCGCAACCTCTCTCTCACAACCCTTCATAAATTGGAAAGTAGTTGTCAGCACTAATTCAGCATGGTGAACGCCAAAATTTTCAGAAGAATTTAATAGATGATAATTATCTCTACTAAAGAGCATAAGACTAGCAAAATTTAGTTTCCATCTCTAATATATAGAAGCCACGAAGAACTTCTCCCACTCTTCTATTTTCTTTGTTTGCTTATCCTAAGCATTGTGGTTTCCAAATAAAATTACGAAAGAGGCAAGAACAAATTTTGACAATGCTGCAACTGCACCTAAAACTACACACATTTTCAAAGAATTCCTTAAATGTTCCCTTTAAGGAAATCATTTACGAAAGGGGCTGTTTGGTTGCACACTTTTTGAGAAAAATTTTCTCAAAACATCTGATAATGACAAATTTGTAATTAAAAGTTTTCCAGAGATTTCTGTAAATTGTGTTTGGTTCAACAAAAAATTTACAGAAATATTTTCTATAAAATATCAAAACCTACCAAATTTTACAAAAAGTAATTTCCTCTCAAAATGAGAGGAAATCACCAGAAATCTGACACATACCATATTTAATTAAAAACCTACCAAATCTTGTTATTTTCTATGAAGTTATGAGCTATTTTCTTGTTTTGAACCAAACAAGCAAAGTACAAAAAAACAAGAAAATTGGTACTTTTTGATTTCTCAAAACTTTTCCTATAATTTTTTAAGAAATACAATTATGATCTTGTATGAATTCTGTCACCCGGTATTTACCACTCGGAGTGATTTTGATTGTCATTCGTGCGGGGCAACCAATTCTTGTTTCTGGCCGTGGCCTCTTCACTTCCTTTGCTCCTTTCTTGTCCTTTCGAAACCCTTCCCTTGAGCAGACAAATGTCCTAGATCTAGTAATGTTTTCAGAAGATTTATCTGATGAACTTTTTCGTACACTGAAGCCTACAACACCGGCATATTTATTGTAGAATTCATATGCTTTATCTTCACTGTCGAATTCCATGTCAATTTCTGGCACTGCTTTTGCATTAGTGTTGTCTATAGGAACATCAGAATCGATCATTCTTCTCATTTTACCCTGTTTATTCAAATTCTAGAATGATCTGTTAGTTTAGAAAAGAAGTGGGGAAGAATTAGACAACTCCCAGCTTATCTTATCATGTACATCAAGTACGATAGTAGAGCTTTTCAGGTATTGAAAACGACAAGCAAGAACTTCCAAATTGAAATATAAAATTATTAACTATAATGAAACAGAATGCATGACCAAAAACCTTGACACATAAAGTATATCAGTTATCGTTATCTAATTGGAAAATACACATCTGTGATACCTTTACGAATTACGAGTTAAATAGGGATTCAACCTCGAACTGAGGAAGAACATGGGTACATCACTTGTTGATGTTAGATTCTGGGCCCTTTTGATTAGTCCATGGAAAATAAATGGCCTAGAAAGTTTGGTGTCATGAAATAATTTGGCAAGACTCAACAAGTTGGAATTTGAGAAAAATCTGGTAAAATAGGAAATAATTTGGTTATAGTTAGGGGCTGTTTGGTTGCACACTTTTTGAGAAAACTTTTCTCAAAACATCTGACAATGACAAATTTGTAATTAAAAGTTTTCCAGATATTTCTGTAAATTGTGTTTGGTTCAACAAAAAATTTACAGAAATATTTTCTATAAAATATCAAAACCTACCAAATTTTACAAAAAGTAATTTCCTCTCAAAATGAGAGGAAATCACCAGAAATCTGACACATACCATATTTAATTAAAAACCTACCAAATCTTGTTATTTTCTATGAAGTTATGAGCTATTTTCTTGTTTTGAACCAAACAAGCAAAGTACAAAAAAACAAGAAAATTGGTACTTTTTGATTTCTCAAAACTTTTCCTATAATTTTTTAAGAAATACAAGGAAATCATATTTTAGGTGGAAAACATTTCCTATAATTTCTAGAAATTGAACCAAACACCCCCTAAACAAACCCATAATTTTAGCACTGCGTTCGCCAACTATAACTACCAATCTCTCCTCTGTAGCTCTCTATCCTTTTCTTCTCAAAAGAAAAGGAACATTTTTTACAAGAACTACACAAGTCGCAAAAGAGGAGCAAAACACCGAAAATTACACACAAATCCTTGCAAAAGAATTTCTTTTTGAACGAATACTATCTCTAAAGTGTAAGAAATCACATATAAGCTAATGTCAAACACCAAAACCGACAATTTTTTAACATCAGTAGAACTTTATCCCATATCGACAACTTATATCTACTTGCTGAATCCAAAAACCCTAGCTATTATACGGAATTGAGAGAAAGATAAAGCAATTGAAGATCTAGGGTTTTAGGTAGCTACGCACGGCGATGATGTCGCGATCGCACCAGGGGATGTTGTCGCCGCCGGTGAAGAAGGATCCGACGGAGCCGAAGAACTTTTCCATGATTTTCCGATGAACGGAGATCGATGAATCGATCTAAAAATAAATTAGGGGTTTTTATAGCGAAAGAATTTGAGGAAGAAGAGAAGAAGGGGTTGGATACTTCGGGGTTAAGAGAGAGAACGGTGATTTATTAATTTGGTGGCCGGTTTATGATGTAATAATTTTGGGTTGGAGAATATTTTGAGAGAGACCCATTTAGTAAAACAATTAGCAAAATCGACCATTTTGCTAAAGATTTAGTAAAATCGATTTTTTTTGCCGTGTCATCAAGGCTGACAAAAAAAAGAGATCGATTTTACAAAATATTATGTTTAAAATACACAGGACTACTAGTTTCGTATTGTTAGTGGTCCATAATTAAGATTAATCTATTTCTTATGATTTAAACGGAATAGTCCTGTTTAAATAGCATAGCAGAGACGCTACCCTAACATTTCCACAATCCAACGACCTCAACCTTCTCTCAATCCAATGCGAGAAAACCTCACAAACCACTGTCAACACCTCGATCTTCTCCGAAACCCTAACCACCTTCTCCAACCCCAATCTCAAACCCAGCGGCAGTGCAGCCCTCCATGTCGAGACTCCGTGATGTCGTTGTTCATCTCCTTGGCCGAGACGTCGAGATTCTTCTTCAAGAGATTCATCAAGATGGAGGTTTGGATAATGTTGAGGCCGAGGAGGCGAAGATGCTGAGGGATCGAAAGTTCTGCGGGAGTAGGAGGGACGAGTCATGCCTGATGGAGGAGATCAATGGATTGAAACTCGTAGCTGTAATCAAAAGAGGAAAAAGGTTTGATATTTTCCCGTAATTATCAATTGCTAAACACAAGGGACTACTAGCCCCATATTATCTAAACATAATATTTAGCAAAATCGACCTCTTTTTTGCTGGCCTTAATATTTTGTAAAATCGACCTCTTTTTGGTCGGCCTTGATGACTTGGCTAAAAAGAGATCGATTTTGCTAAATATTTGGTAAAATGGTCAATTTTGCTAATTATTTTTTTAAAATTGATCTCTTTCAAAAACTTTTCCTTTTGGGTTTTTTCAATGTTAGTCCCTTATGTCTTTTAATATTTTGAAATTAGTCCATCAAATCATTAAAATTGCTATTACATCCCCCAAATTTTTATGAGTATTTCGAAGTTGGCTCATCAAATCATTGAAATTGTCACTAGGTCCCTTACCTCTCACTCGTTGTTCCAAGTAACTTAGGAACCGGGAGGACCGAATAGCAATTCCAACAATTTATGGGCTCATTGAAAATTTGACAAGAACCGGGGCATAAAGCAATTCAATTATTTGAGGGACTAATCAAAATATGAAAGATGACTAATGTCAGGGGGGGAAAAGCTGAAGTTCGAAGGATAAATCATTTATAGGCCTCTGGATAAAGCATGCATCATGTGACTGATTTGAACTCTAAATTGAAACCATGAACAAAAATAAATGGTAGCTTATTAAGACAATCCCTTGAACAAGCACGTTCCCCTTCGTTAAATCACATACAGAATTTATCATGAGCTAATTTACATGGCACAAGGAGATGACCAAAACTAGTACTTTCATGTATTCATATCTGTCGTATACGTATGATTACAATGAACAAAACACAAGCAAATAATATCAATGGTGGTCAAATTCCATCACAGATTGTACTGATAGCTTCATATATTCTGGCAACCGTGGATTCATCGGCACAACGGATGAACGTTTGTGACGCACTTATTTTAATGAAATCATCTCCTTGCTCAAGGTATATAGTGGAACAAGTAGAATCCTCATTTTCTGAAGGAAGTCTCAGCGATGCATTAATCTCCTTCTCTTTCAATGCTGATAGTAAGCGAGCAGGATCAATACAACCCCAGTAAAGTTTGTTTAGGGGCTCAGTAGCTTGTTTTTCTCCTGAAGAAACCAAAATATATTTCCCATTTCTCAAGAGAAGCCGACCCCCCTTCAATCTTGCAATTGCCATGTCTTTCCCTTTGATTGTTAATCTCCGAGGGAGGAGGTTAAACGCGAGGTCAGTAGCTAAGAAGGCTTCAAAATTCTCCCGAAGTTTGGGAATACAAACTGTTGTGTTCTCCGAGTAATATAAGAAAGAGAGGTTTGGATCTTTACATTGAGACCTTAAATCTTCGGGAAGCTGTAGTTGAAACGTGAAGGTAATACCTGTATCAATTTCAAGATGTATACAATCCAGTAAGGTGCTTATTGGCAAATACTTTTGATTACCAGAGTAAATTTTGGTCGCAGAACTTCCAGCAGTGGCTGAATTTTTTCCACCCTAGAAAGAAGCAAACAATGCTTTGTCATTGAGTCAAGGTTAGTACACATGCTATCACGAAAAGTGAAATATAAGTCTTTAGTTAAACTTTGTGCACTGACAAAAAAGTTGCTCTAGTAAATTGATTTTATTCATCTGTAAATAGTTTATCTTACATTTCCTATTCCATATTTTGGCCCACATATTAATTAGTCCCACTACATTAAGTTCTTTCTTCGCCACAAGTAAGATCATTAGGTCTTACACATTAGGCAAAATAAGAAAGGACATATATCTTCCAAAAGATGCATCTCTGTCCCACATCCAATAATTGAAGATGTAATTTGACGGGACAAAAAAGTTATAATTGCGAATAGACCCCCTGTAGTTATATTGTTGCAGATAGACCTTTACCTTCAGAGGAAGAGAACTAGACTCTTTACCCTCAGAGAAAGAGAAGACTGTTCTTTTGACAAATAGACCCCCTGAGGGTAAAGAAGTCTATCCACAATTGGACAATAGAACAGGGTGGTCTATCCGCAATCTACAGGGTGTCTATCTGCAATTGGGCAACAGTAAAAAGGGTTTCCCCACAATCAACACCCAAGAAAGTTCAAAATACCAGATCGGAAAATCCTTAGACTTACTTTATTCCTGATAGAAAGGAGCATTGCAGGACCTTGATTGCAACTGGCTTGAAAGGCAAGAGGGCAGCTTCAGCATCAACTCCTTGCTGCATGTTATGCATCAATTAGGTCACATAGTCGGAGCAACAACAAACTGACAAAGTAATAAAGGGAACAACTTATGGCAAAGTGGTAATCTCACACCAACAAATAATAATGTGGATGTGGAAATAGCAACATATGTACCTCCAGAATTAGTAAACATCTGTGGTCTGCATGCCATCGATGAAGCAAATGAACAACTGGACCAAGGCGAAGGCTCCAATGAGGTGCAAAGACTATGCAGGGCTCCCTCCACATCATTCTATGAGCAATTTAAACTTCATAAAGATAGGAGGAAATTGAAATAGAAGAAACAGTCACATGATAGTAATAAAAAAACAACAAACAAGACTGCAACATTTTCCATGGCCTCACTAGAGTTGTCAACAAATTTTGCTTGAGCACATTGAAGAACAGAAATACTTTCTCACACCGAATACTGTCATAGTAAACTAAAAAAGTAGTAAAACAAAGAAACGAATGCAATTAAGTAAATAAATATATGATGTCAAATAGTGGTTGAGGATACATAAAAAGAAAGCCACATCACAATGAACCAATGATTAACATGAATATTTAGAAGAAATACGTCTTACAACAACTCTGGGGAGTACAGTAGCGGAAATATATTAAGCTTTCTCTCTCTCATAAGATCAACATGACCAAACAGTGCCTCACCAGCGAAGAGCTGCATATGGAATAATCATTATTATTATATGTAGCGGAGGTCATGTAAAAGCTAGTGAGTGAAAAAAAGAAATACCTTATCTTGTCGTCGCTTACAAAGCCATTCCGGAATAGCATTAGTAAATGCTAGCATCTCTTCTGCAGTAGACGACACCATAAATATGGGTACCTAATATGCATAGGAGAATGGTTAGCACAGATGATAAGGAAAGCATGCACCAAGATGAGGTCCAATTATAAACTGGGGGCGATATCTAATTGAGTACCATGTGAATTAGTATAGAGAGAAAAGTAAGTGAATGATGAAGTGACTCGAAAATAGTACTGAGAGAATAATGCTAATGATGGCAGCAGCATTGAGCACACCAATATGAAGTAATCATAAAGTTGCATGTTTTACTCCACATTTTACAAACTGATATCCTCCACAAGCACAAAAAATTACTATAATTCTTGAATGGAAATTTCAATTTAACCTGCTAGTTGAAGTCATTAGAAGTCAAATTACTTGCCAAGAATTTTATAGAAATAAAATGTTCATCAAACATATATTGGCTTTTAAGCATTATACATAAAAGCACTCAAGAACAGAAACAATCATTCCAGTTTTTGCTCAAGAAAGTATAACATAAAGAACGAAGGAAAATGTCTGACATTAGTACCTCCAAATTTGATGATTCTAGTAACTGTGATAACTGCTCGAGAAGCACTAATATGATCCCAACTCTGCCTACAGGGATCAGAACAGAACCTCCTTCATTTAGGGAATCAATGACACACGAGCATATGAAACTGATCTTGTTGTTCTCCTCTGAACTCTCACCAGGGTCAATTAAATAGCTTCTTGTTTCATCCTCTTTATCGTAGGATGCCCTATACACATATTGATCAATATACTTGAGCAACACATGTTAAACAGATCCCCACAAAAGGGAATAGTCTGGATGCAAGAGACAAAAGGAAAACAGAGCTGAACTGGAGGACACTGTTCTTAATGTAAATAGAGAACGTACCTGACTTCTGAAACATCTGAAGGACTCAAATCTTTCTCTTCCATTTCTTCATCATGATTACTCCCACTGGTGTCATTACCATCAGCTAGGCTGTATAAGGATGACAAATCAGAAAATAGAACTACATCCTTTCCTTGAAGAGAATGGTAGTCAAAGTCCATTGCATGAGCTGACTGGAATATGGAGCTCGACAAGTATGCAATGCTTCCTCTAGGTCCACTGATTGTCCAATTGCAGCTTCCAATTTCAAGACCAGAACTGAAAGCTTTCAATACTATGGTGCCATTGAAACAAACTTCTTCAGCATACTTCAGAGGTTGAACTGACTGCATACATTCCTTTATGTCTGCAGCACTGACACACAAATAATTACATCCCAAATATAACATATGACACATCAAGTAATAATAATATACCAATCTGCCTATTAGCATTAAGAAATAGAAAGAAATGATGGTGATAACATCTCATCCAGAGAAAAATAATTTTGTTCCCATGATATTCAGAGATCTTCCAAAGTTTTAACCCCAAAAGAAAAGGCTGGTATAAACACATGGAGAAAGCCCGGGTAAGTTTATGTATTCATGAACAACTATAATATGACTGCTAGAGTATAAAATTATAGACCTCAACCTTCTCTTAACTTCAGAGGTTTGGTGTAATGAAAAGGACTTTAAGATGGCGCATAGCTCAGATCAACCCCCACCCAACGTGCATTTAAAAGCTAACAGTCCAGATTTAGATCCATGTAAAGGGCACGCAGCCTGTGGGTAAACTATAATTCTCAGCCCTTAACATAACTTCGGGCTATTGGAGCATTCAATTCAATTTGTAGCGATGTACCTTATTTCTACAGGTATCCTACAACATGTTTTCCAATATCACAAGCTAACAAGCTAGTTTCACTCACTTATCATTGCCCTAACAAATCATGCCCATCTACAAGTTACATATAGTGAACATTACGAAACAGTATTCAATAATCCATCAAAAATATAGAACCCTTTTTCGACTACATTTCTACGTTCTAGCGACACCTCAATCAAGTTCAATTAAAATTCAAATACTTCAAATTAAAAAAAAACGCAATCTTAAATCTTTTACCTATACAACGGCATCCAGCTTCCCATCTCCTCCCCGCTTCCACCCATCACAACCTCCCTCACTGTCTCCGGCAACCTCTCCACCTCCTCCCACCTCAACCACTCCGGCAAAACCCCATCCTCCTCCCTCTCCGGCCCATAAAACCCTAACATCTCCTCATGCATTGCAACGAGCTCCTCCATCATCAACCTCCCGACCCTCGCCGCCGCCTCGGTAGCGTACACCTTCCCGCCAAACCTAGGGCTCCGGGTGAGGAACGGGAGGCCGAGCATGCCGGCGGGGGTGGTTATGAGGACGGCGTCGATGAGGGAGGGGTCGTAGAGGTGGAGGTTTCTTAGGGCTTTGTAGCGAGGGAGGGACTGGATTAGGGTTAGGGTTTGGGATGCTAGGGTTTTGAGAGGGGTGAAGGCGGTGAGAGGGGAGAGGTCGAGAGGGCAGTCGAGGAGGAGGCGGTGGCCGGAGAGGTGGAGGAGGGCATGGCGGGAAATGGTAGCCGCTTCCTTGCTCAGGCATGTCTGTTGATTGATTGAAGACAGAGAGTTTAGATATCAAAGTTGAGATTTTTAGAGAGAGTAAGTGGAGAGTAGAGAGAGAGATTGCCAGTTTCATGCGGAGAGATTTATGGTTTCTTAGTTCCCTCGATGAATGGGCGGCGGCGGCGGGTCGGTCCCGAGGCGATGGCGGGAGGTACGGACTTACTGGCCCTCTGGCTTCAAGTTTAGCTAAGGGCTTGTTTGGATTGAGAGCAATGAGGGTGAAGGGAAGTTAGGGGAACCATTCATCTCTATTCATCTTGTTTGGGAACATTTAGGAGGTGAAGTTAATTCATCCTAGTTCCCCTTGGTTCACCCTCAAATAGTATAAAATTTGTTACCTCCTAAATTGGGGTGTAACCAAGGGGAAGGGAACTTTCTTCCCTTCCCTTCCCTTCTCTCAGTTTCCCTTAACTTCTCTTCACCCCCTACAAATCCAAACAGGCCCTAATGTACCCCTAATTCTACCACATTCAGCCTTTGGTTTAATTGCGAATAGACCCCAGTAGGTCTATTTTTGCGAACAGACCCTTGAGTGGATTTTTTTTCCCTTCTTAAAATAGTTAAAAAAAAAGTTTTGAGTAGGCAGATATACCGCTCATAGTTCTATTGGTGAGTATATTCCTTCACATTTTTAAAATATGATTCCTTACCCCCGGTATATTTAGTTTTTCCAATAGGATGATTTGAGGGTTGCTTAAGTAAAAACCCATTATTTTTCGCTCAACATAGTATTATTTATGCAAGCAAAATAGGTAATACTGCATAAAAATGTGCAGTTTTTAAGCAGTGAGGTCATAATCCAATTAAGCAGTAGGTGAAGGAATGCTCCCTTAAAGTTCACGAGTATAATGCACGTGCTTTGCACGTGAACGTACATGTTTTAACTTCTGAACTTTTTATTGAATAGTAAAATTATGTGTTAATAAATAAATTTGTATAATAAGATTGCTTAAAAAGAAATGTACAAATTAATTATTATTTTGTAGTTATTATAATTGAAGGTTTTTCTTATAATAATTGCCTAGTTAACCTTTTTTTAAATAAGTCCCCTAAATTTACAATTGTTCTTAAATAAGTCTGTCAAATTTATAAGTTCTCTTAAATATGTCCATCTAACTTAAAAGTTATTAACTTAACTCTAAATTAACTAAGCTGCATTGATATTGCTAGCTTTTTCCTGATATTTCCTAGATAGCTATACTTAATACCAGTAACATATTGCTATTGTTACTTCTCATTATAATTATTTAATAGGGTAAATTACACTAAACCCTTATGAATTTTCAGCCTTATGAACTTTTTAAATCACACAAAAGCCCTCATAATTTTCTGTTTCAAAGAAAAGTCACCAATAACTTTCTAAATTTTGTAGATAACCCCTATAAATTAGAACTAGAAAATGACATAAAATGTATTTTGAAAGTTATTGGGAGTTTGGTGTAATTTATGTAAAAGATATTGGGGGTTTCTACAAAAGTTATTAGGGGTTTAGTGTGATTTTGAAAGTTCATAGAGCCTATTTACTGCAAAATGATGAAAGTTCATGGGGATTTACTGTATTTTACCTTATTCAATATTACTAGTTTTTATGCATGTGCAATGCACGTGGTTAAATATCAAAATAGTTTAATTTTGTATTTATTTTATTACTATAAATAAGTTAGATTTATTTTGAGCTCAAATCTATAAAATTTGATTATTAGATTTGCTACATTTTTTTAAATATTATAAAAAATCAATGTAATGGATCTTTGTGCTAAACTGGGGTCAATTTAATTACCTGGGATATGTTAATTGATTCTTAAGAAAAATAGCAATTGACATAATAATATCTTCAAGCAGAATAGTAAAAGAAAATAAGTTAAATTGATGTTGTATGTCATATTGCCAACTCTACTAATACCAAGCTATAATTTGGAGTCAAGCATGAATAACAATATCATTAGGAACTATAGTTCTAGCAATAAAGAAATCACATTTCTTATTGCATTGAAAACATAATTGTGCATCACATTGGGACATTATAAGCTCATGTTTTATAATAAATAATCTCAAAAGCAAACATAAATAAATAAGTATGACAAACATGACACACACACACACACGAGATCTCAGCCTACATCATTTGATAGACTTAAAATAATAAAAAGATAAAAACTAAATATTAATGATAACTATACTATAATTTTATGTGATAAAAGCAATCACATAAGCGTACAAAACTACTAAAAATTTTGCATGAAAATCCCTTATAAAAATTCCTAACTTTACTCAAAAAATTAAGTTATAATATAAAATATTCAAAGAATATTATCCTTTATGCTTTTTTATTTCATATTTTAATTGAATCAAGATCAATCTTTCCCACCTTTATCTTTTTCCTGGGCAATTTTAGAGTAGTGTCTTCATCATCAACGTCGATTGTGATATCAGGCTAGAGTTGGATTCCTTGTGCTATTATATTTTCTTCACCTCATTCATCTTTTGTCTTCTCATCTGACTTCACCAGAAATTTGAATGTCTTTCCGATACTCAACACAAACTTCTGAAAATATGGACTCTGATTATTTTTCTATTTCAATGAGAACAAAGGTTAATTTCATATATATGAAAAATTTTATAATTTTCTAATTTATTACTTGACTAGAGTTAGGAATTACCTCTTCTTTCTCTATAAGGAATTATTCTGCAGTGCATCTAATAAGAGTTTCTACTGCATCAAACAGTGTTACATTTGCTTGTCTGTGCCATTTTCACGAGAATCTTAACTACATACCTGTAGTTTTCATTGTTGATTTCTAGATATATGTTAATATTGTATTTTGATATGTTCATGTCATAAAAAAAAGTTATATTACTTAACTTTGGTACTAAGTCATTAGTAATTTTGCGGCATTTATCATTTATATACTCTTTATTAACATCTTTATCTACTTTCTTGTTGTGGCCTTTTCAAGCATAGAACCATGGCTTGAGTCTATTTAGAATGGTAGTTATCTTTACCTTAAATATGCAATGGCGTGTCTGTATATTGGCAAATTTTAGTTAGGTTTAATTATGTTAATAAGAATAGGTTTCTAATATTATACCTATATCAAATTCTGTTATGTCTGCATAATATCACTAATTTGATTTTCTTTTATATTTTTAAAGTGCGTTGATGGAGATCCTTTTGTTTTTGCAACCTTTTCTAAATGAAACCTGCATATTAGATTAAAATATAATACTATTCCATTATTAGGTTACATGAAGGTATAATGCTTGTTTTATTTACAATTTCGCTAATTATTTAGCAAGTTATATTTTTGGGTTGATACATATTATTGATATAATTTGCAATGATATGCTTGTCTCCCCTGCAAATTTGAGATAATCATAACATGAATTTTATGTTTAGTTGTCTTTAATAAGAATTTCAGTAATTAAATGTGTACCTTTATGTATAGAGATGTTAAAATCTGATAATGCTATTACAAGCTTATGTTTGATTATGTCTTCAAAAATTGATCCTTCATTTGTAGCCATATACTAAATAAAGTTGCACACAGAGTCATTTCATTGTATATGAAAAAGAAAGAATGTCAATCTTATTTTTTTCTTACGATATTAAAACTAAATATAATGGATACACCTTTTATCCATTATCATGATTTCCTTCTTACAAAGTAAGGGAAAATCTCTGAAATAATTTCAATATTGGACCTTGGACATAGAATAGTTTCAAATCAAATCTCTCACGTTAGTTGTTATTGCAAGAACATCTGCAAGTAATTTTATAATAAGTTTATAATTCCATAAATTAATGTCTCATTTTGTATTGAAGATTAAAGTATAAAAGTTATATGTACTTACTAATTTTTGTTGCATCTTTCATGGAAAATGCTTCTTCAATTGGGACAATGTTGTTCAATATGTTCTCCAAATGGAAATCAAATGGTGCTTCTTTGATAGATATGTCTTTTGTTAATATTAATTCAATGACTTGTGGACACTTGGAAAATCTGTGTTTATTCATTTCACTTCTCTATTTGAAATGAAAATAATTTGATTCTTTCGAAGCATATCTCTAAACTTTTCAATAATCTCTCCGTACATAACTCTCCGTATTTTATTACCCTACAAATATTATTAACATCAGATATCAATGGTTGTAAAATATAATTAATTAATACCAAACTATATATTATATTTTAATTAGTTATATGTAATATAGTCTTTTATTAACTAATGCTACTTAAGGGTAAATTACACAAAACCCTGGAGAACTTTCAGTATTTTACAGTATATCCTGAATAACTTTTAAAATCTAAAAAATAACTTCTTCAATAATTTTTGGAATTGTAAAAAACACAATAAATTGCCCCTTTTTTAAAATAAAACCTACAAATTAGAATAGAAAAACTACACAAAATGGCATTGTGAAAGGTATTGGGATTTTAGCGTAATTTACGTAATAGATAATGAGGTTTACTGCAAAAGTTATTGGGGTTTATTGATATATTTGGCCTTATGCTCTAAATGTAAATATTTTTTTCTATTTGATGTAAGCTCCCTATCAAATCTTGCCCCAAACGATGTGAATGAGAAAATACTGTTATAAATTTTGGTATAGCTTCGAAACTCAATTGCCTCTAGTGATTATATTGTATAAGGGTATATAATTCATTTGAAATATTCACATCTGCTAGGTAGATTTCACCTTTATGACAGCAAAATGTTGGAGGCTCGTGTTCAAACTTTTTGGCTCCACAATAGACACAAGACTTTGAAATGCATAGCTTATATAGTAAAGAACAAACCAGTTCATGAAGAATTTTCCTTAGCATATATATATATATAATAAACTAATATATAATATTATATGGCCCTTTTAATAAATTATAAAGAGTATCTGTGCAAGCCTCGATGCTCATAGGCCAGTAGTATGGCTCCACAAAATAGGTCAATTTTACGTTGTCGTTTGCTATTAGTAATACTATCAGTAGAGTCATTACTTTGCCTCTTTCTCTTATTATCCACACTTCTTTGAATGTAAGCTTTCTTTTGCTCATCACTCAACTAAGCATATTTGGTTTTTCTAATAGTGTATATTAGATTGTTCTCTTCTATTTTAAAAATGTTCGTATAGTCTTATGAATACATACACGCGCGCGCACACACACATATAAGAATAATTTATTATTCAGTTCAATGCAAACCTTAGC